CAAGAATTTGAGACATGAACATTGATATTTAGCACTTTTTATTAAAGATAAAGCATTTAGTAATGCACTGCAGCCACTGAAAAATACATAAAACAGATGAAAAGCAGAAAATGAAAATCTCATAATGAAAATTGTAAATCATTTTTCAGTAACTCCAATAGATTACAATGCAATATCCTCGCTTAAAAGTGCTTAAATATCAATAACCGCGCACTAGCGAAACGAAAGCAAAAATACGTGTCTAATTATTTTTTGCCCTTTACAATATAAGCCCTGAAAAAATTGAAAATGATCGTACCAGCAAAGGCACTTCCCTTGTTAGAAAAAAAGTAAAGACAAAATTCAAATAATAAGCTACAAGAACTTCATTTTTAGTGAAAACTCAGCACTAATTATTATCTTACTCGTCTGGCTTTTAATCAATCGGACAAAACCATGAGATACATGAGATATGAAAATCTTGAAAGTCTCTGCAAAGCTTAAGCTTAGGCTTGAATGAAGCTTAAAGAAAAATTTGAGCTCGCACTTGAAAAATGTTGATCTTTTTCACTTTTAATGAAGTTGTAGTATCACCTAATTGAATAGGATTAAACATCAGCATTAGCATCAGTTTAATAAACAAATTACTCACCGAAATTATCCTCTGAAGAGTCTCCATGATAAACTCTGGCTGAAGACATACTGACATAGAGAAGCGATTCCTTAACAATAAACCAACCAACTGATTGTTTTTGAAGCTAATTCCCAGTGATTAAATGGCAACTTATCTGAGTTATTTCTTAGGTGAAAACTCAAGACAAATACAAGTTGTTTGCACTGCATGGGAACTTTGAATCTCTAAAAGTTACCGTAAATGTTTGGTAATGTTGGTAAATGTTTCAATGTTGACTGTTGAAGTTGATAGGCACACAATAGTTTAATTTGTTGTTTCACTTAGCTAAATAGAATGCTAATAACCATCATTGTGATTGTTGGACGATTTTGTGCTGATAATTGTTTCAATTATTATTCCATGTTGTCTCGATTCACTTTTAAATGGATAATAATAAGACAGTTGGATTGAAGGTAAAAAGCTTTTCTTGAGTCTTTTACTCAGACTCAGTCTATCTTGTATCGCAATAAGATTCAATCTTGAGATCGATATTTTCAAGATACTTTTCTTCGTCAGTTTTTTATCACTTTTACATCATTTCATTCATTTTTACAAGGTTCTTGGTTCTCTTTTATAATCTTGTTCATCTTCAATCATCATCCTGATCAACCTCATGTTTCAATTTTTCATCAAAACCAGGGAGAAAAAGTGAATTAAAAACAATTTGAATGTAAATAGGAAAAGGACAAAATGTAATCCAATGTTTACTCTCATCTGATATTTGCTTTATTACATTGCCAGTTTGTTTTTTACATCTTTACAGTAATGTTTCCTTCATTTAAAATTATTTCTCCAACAATTTGTTGATTCTTCCATTAAATGTTATTAAATTAACAGAGATGATCAAATGTTACAGTTGTAAACATAACCAATAGAAAGCAAAGTAAATGTTATTACACAAAAATTACGTAAAAGTGGCGTGTTTCATCTTATTTCACGGAAAGGGTTCATTTGGCTGAGCTTTCACTTTCAATATTAATAGCGATTGATTAAGTTGACTTTCAATAAATGATAATGGACTGATGATTAGTTTACTCTCGATATAATTGTATTGTGATTAATCTAACAAGTTGGATCGAGAGGTAAATAGGTAAAGAGCAAAAAATCTGGTTTTTCATCATTGAAGGTAAACAAAATTTCTCGTCTAATGTTTTATTTTAATTCATTGTATCTTTCAAAATGATATCATTAGTAAATCATTTCAAATTTAAATTAAAACCTTATGATTTAATTAATTTGCAACAAGAAACAAACCACTGGCCTGGTTTGCATTATGCTCCAATGAACTACATAACCATTTGACCATGTAAAGTAACCAAAAAACTAGCCCAAGTTTGGTTCCTAAACTTGTTTTCATTTCATCATTTTGTTGCCATTATGTCATTTCCCTGATCCTAATGAATATATGCATTCCCATGGTTACTCTGTTAATTGTCACATTATCTTTGAGTATAACTTTCAATAAAGGTTGCACTTTTCAATAATCATTCAACTTGTTACAAACCTTTCAATCAGTACGCAACGAAAAGCCTGAGTTTGTATCAAAATCAACACTTGCAAATCATTTGCAAGATTGAATTGTCAATCTTGACCATAATTCAATGATTAAACCAGTTGGTTGGAATATATTTTTCATGTTTAACCAGAAAAGTTGTTGAAAAAGTCGTTTTTCTTTCACTTCTAGGTTACAATTTTGATTCCTGGTTAGATTAATCAACAGATTGTGCCAATGATCAAGACACAATTAGGGTAAAATTTCCTTCTCCTAAAGTGCTTCTGATTACATCTTGTTCCTTAACCAACTAAACTTCAATTTATTAACAAGTTGAACCGGTTTTCTGGCTTGTTTACACTTAATTTATCAATTTTACCGTTTTGTGATCAAATCTTTTCAAATGGAATCCCTTGTTTCCAAATTAATCATCACATTAATTGTGCTTAATCTTGTTCTATCGTCTAACCGATCCAAATGTTTTGCCCTTTACCATGGATTTGAAGATATCGATGGTCCCCTGACTCGAATCAAGCGTCAAGAAAGTGGAGTGGAAGATGAATCTTCACGTACTTTGGTTTGTGATTTTGGTTCAGGATCATTGTTATCCGAATGCTCCTGGACTTACCCAATGGACGATCATCCAAATGTCCATTGGAGTAAAGGCCAAGGTACAACAGCTTACTGGCTTGGTGGGCCGTTAGTTGATCATACATTAGGTGATTCAAATGGTGAGTGATAAAGAAAAGTTTTGTACGAAAAAATGTTTTCTTAGGAAAAGGTAAATCATTCAATCTGTTGTCTTCCTTTAGGTGGATACATTTACTTTGAAACATCATACAAAGTGGTTGGTCGAGTGTTTTCCAGTGCAGCTCTTGAAAGTGACAAAACTGCTTCAGTGAAAGTTCCAGTTAAAGATGATTTACTGAATGGCCAATCCTCTCTCCACAGCAACCTAACCAATGGACAAGGCAATGGTTTACAATCTCAAGGAAGCTTAGGAGGTCCAGGTGGAGGTTCATCTTTAGATGGACGCTCAGCCTCTTCTTTGGGTAGTCGCTTGTCTGACAAACTGGCCATCTTTAAACAACCCTTGCTTCGTCTAACTCTCGATGATCCAATCGTCACCATTCCTGACAAGGCTCATCTTGAAAGTCCAAACATTACCAGAACCGGACCAGTTGGCCATTGTATTGGATTTTTTTTCAACATTGACGGACTTTCAGCGGAAAAACTCAGACTTTTGGTTAAAGATACTGAAACCTCGGAAAATCAAACTCTCTGGGAATCACGAACTCATACAGACGGTGCTTGGATAAGAGCAGAGGTTGCATATACTTATGAGACTTTTCACCAGGTAAGGAAACGCCAACACTTATCACCATTCATTTATCCTTTTCTGATTTCCTTGAAACTAATGATCAGTTCAACACCTTGAGGGTGCATTTAAATCTGTGTAACAAAAATATACATACATATATTATTTGATGTCAGGATGAGGATAAAGATGTTTGGGAAAAAGGTTTGAAAGGTAAAAGCATGTATTATGGATTGTAATTTATTGGGAAGCAAAAAAAACTCCCAACTTGTATCATTAATCTCATAAATTGACATTTACTTTTCTCAGGTAAATCTGATGAAATTTGAGGTGATTTGCTTTTGCTCACAGCTAAATTTAATATATTTTTGGCGTGTTTCAAAGGTTACATTGTGATATTGTGTTAAATATTGAATGGAAATGATGAGGTAAAAAATGTTGCCCTTGTCAAAAAACATGGAAACAAATGATTAAACCTGAAAACTGAGTTAACAAAATATATATATTATCATGTTAAGACTGTATAATCAAATTGATTTCATTGATCATTTTTTTAAAGCCTTTATTGAACTCCTTTTTTTGCCTTCTTTGTTTTGCCTTTCATTTTTAAATCAATTATTCAACCCATTTTAACTTTGATTTATGATTGATGAGCTTTATAATTTGTTTTATTTGAGTCAACCTTTATTTTTACCCTTTTACTTGCTTCCTCAATACAATAATTTACTAATTATCGTTTAATGATGATTACTTGCTAATGTTTATGGTGTGTATTAATGATCTTGTTGGTTTTATTGACTCTCTGGGTTTTTTGGGTTTCTTGGTTGGTCATTGGGAAAGCTAATTAAAAGTACAAGATTTGAGTCTCATTTATACTAATTACTTTCATTGATTTATAATGTTGATTGGTTTAATCAATAAAAAGTTCAATAACTGGTTGGGCCTGAACAGGGAAAGATAAATAAATGGTTAGACCATTGAACTTGATTGAATATTCAAATCAATTGTTTATTCAATAACCATTCAATTATCAACAGTTAATTCAAACTTACAAGCAGTCTTGTATTGATTTAACAGTCAGTTGCTCTGTTAATCGTATTCAATTGACAAGGAACAAGTTTAAATTGAATTATTAATGCAAAAAAATGATCAACCAAAGTCAAACTGTATTAATGTCTAAACAAATTTAGATTTTAATTTCTCATCATTCATCTTACATCCATTTTGATGTAAAGATAGTTTTTTATCTGAAAGGCTTTGAAATTTCAACATTTTATATTCAATTTATAAACACAATTGCCTTTCATTTTTCAAGATTCATCTATACATTTTCAATTGAATACAATTTGATTATTTAGATTATCTTGGAAGGTGTTGCTAAAAGCTCAAATGAACCTGAACGAGCTTACAGAGGTTATGTTGCTGTTGATGATATATCAATATCTCCATTGGAAGAGACTGAAGGAGTTTGTCATGGTAAGATTGATTGAATGAAAAGGATTTTTTCGTCTTTTAACGGCTTTTTGTGGTCCATTTCTTTTGATTTTACTTTTAAGGCCATTGTACCTTCGAAGGTGGAATGTGTGGTTGGACCAATGAACCCGAAGCTGATGATTTTGATTGGAAATTGGGTCGAGGCTCGGACAATTTTTTCACCGGACCAGCCAGAGATTATTACAGCTTCAGTAAAGAGTATCCACTTGGAGGTTTCCTTTATATTAGTGCAGCTTATCCACGTCGACCAGGAGATAAAGCTGTACTAATTAGTCCTTCATTTCCAGCCACAGGTAATCAAATTTTAAGCATAAAACAATCTTTGGAACCATTCTCCTCCATCTTGTCACCATTGAACACTTAAACTTGAGGAGTCTTCAGCTTTTAAAAAAAATAGACTGTGAGGGATTTTTGGCCTGATTTTGGATCTTATCAAATAATTGAATCTCATGCTGTTAAAACTAAAATAATAATTAATTAGTCTAAAAAGATATTATTGATTAAACCTGACTCATGATTATATAACATAGTCTAGGCTCTAAAGTTGAAAACCGTTTGTTTGCCACTAAAAAGTTGAAACGACCAAATGTGTCACCAATCTTTTCGATTGTATTTAAGTTAAAAATCGATAATCGAAAATTAACTGTTTCTTTGTTTCATTTATCAGTTAGTGGACCGTTTTGTTTCAAATTTGCTACTCATATGTATGGTAATGGAATTGGTACATTGAGAGTTAAATATCGCCCAGGTGAAAGTAAAGATGATAAATCAGATAAAATTTTATGGGAAATGTCAGGTGAATCTGGCAATAATTGGTATCAAGCTCAACTTCCCATTGCTTCAGCTGTGGCATTTAATATAATATTTGAAGGAATCATTGGACCCAATTATTTAGGAAACATTGCCATTGACAGTATATCTATTGAACAAGGAGTTTGTCCAAGTAAGTTGACAAAATATTATCCTTATTTTGATCCTTAAACCTCCTTTTTACCTGTCTCATCCAATAAACCTTCATACAACCTTAAATTATGTAATACATTAGATTCACATTGACTTTGTTTCCCATTTTTAAACTTTTCATTTGCATATTCACCATATGCAAATGAATGTATTAATTTAATGTATTCAAGAGTTCAACTTGACCCAAAAATATAACTGGCTAACATGAAAGGAATTTTATAATCACTATGGAATAATAATTTTGGGTCAAAAAATGGTCATTTAATAGGTTACCCAGTTTTTGTCTCTCATTAACTGTATCACGGAAATGTCAAATTGTTGGTAGCCCATCATCATGTGTATGATTATGCATAGTGGTCATCTTTATAAAGTGTTTATCAACCAATAATCAGTGTGAATAGAAAATTATTGTCCAGTATATTTTTATTAGCAATGATTGTTATTGATATTCATGGATATGATCACAGGAAATGACCTCAATCACATAATAGACAATGCATGTCCATAAAGGTTAAGGTTTCTCTATCATTTACTAATGGTTAATGGGGTCATTTAGGCTCATCATACAAAATTATCATGGAAAGAATGAAAATCACTGTGAATTTACTATTACACGCAATCAATTGATTAGGTGACTAAATTTGAATATTAATTACACAAAGACAATTTGTTTTCAATGTTTTCTTTTTTTTCATCGTCTGTCTAGTTTCACCACAAACTGCAGCCAGAAAATCTGGTGATTGTACCTTTGAGGAAAACATGTGTTATTGGACAAATCCGTTGCCCCATAGTGGAGTCGATGATTTTGACTGGATCAGACAGTTTAGCTTTGGTAATTATGGCCCTAAACATGACCATACCAAGAAAAATGCCAATGGTTACTTCCTAAGTCTTAATGGTGATGCCATTCAACCCTTGAGAGGTGGAACCTCGGCATGGATAATTAGCCCTGAATTTGAATCAAATCCTGATTTACCCAAATGCATGTCCTTTCACTATTTCATGTATCAACGAGTAATTGAACCTGGTGGACCCAATCTTGGCGGTTTAAGGGTTTATTTACGAACAGTTGGCGACTTTGGTGAAACGATATTAATTCCTATTTGGAAACTGAATAATCATCAATCATTGAAATGGCGGCGAGCTCAGGTTCCTTTAGGAGTTAAAAGTAAAGATGGTGATGAGGTTAAAGTTAAACCTCCTAAAAATATTTATCAAGTTGTAATTGAAGGTATTTGGGGTGATGCTAGGGTTGGTTCAATTGCTCTTGATGATATCAGCTTTTTTGATGGTAGCTGTAATGGTAAGTCTAGTTAATAAATTTACTCATTCAATGCATGATTTCCTTCATCTTGATAAGTAATCATCATTTGTCTAATTCATTGTTTTTAGTGATTCCTGCCAATGCTGAAGCTGTTCCTGGTGAATGTTCATTTGATAAAACACTTTGTGGTTGGAAAAACGAAACTCGGATACCAATTAGTAAACCCGGCCAACTGTTATCAACAGTATCGAAAGATTCCTTGATATCACATAAAAATGCCGTTTCTTCCATTCGCTCCAATCTCAATGATCCCAAAGTGATTCCAGTTTCATGGAAACTAGCATCACCTAATGTTCGCCCAGCAAACCTTCAAGATCATACCTTCCGAGCTCCTGGTAAGATTCATTTTAAATAAACATTATTTATCATTAACTAAAATTTTCGTCTACTTTTCAGTTGGTTACGTCTATTTTGATGTGTTCAATCAAAATACCTTGCAAAGTCCAACTCTTCGAAGTCCTAAATTTCCAGCTATAACAGGAGACTCAACAAAGGCTTGTTTAAGTTTCTGGTTTTCTGGTTTTGGTCGAGGAGAATCAACCACTCTTAACATTTATCAAATTAGCGGAGGTGAAACAAGTTCAGATGCAGATATCGGAGACACCAGTAGTACCTCATCTCCAGGAGGGGAAAAGGCCGGGGAAAAGGAGCCAAGAACTCTTTTATGGTCAATTCAAGCTCGATTCCTCGAGACGAGAAGAAGTCTTTGGTATTATGGACAAGTTACTGTCAATGGTGAAACACCATATCAGGTAATAAAAAAGGTTAAATTGTGCATGTTTAATGTTAATTATCTCATTTTCTTACCGTATCCTCACAGATTCTGGTTGAAGGTGAAGCTGTTGACGGAGGTTATGCTCTTGATGATGTTACATTTTACAACGGAACTTGTCAAAGTAAGTTTCAAAAGTCAATTACACTTACCATAAGCAGTTAACTCTCGATTAACTCGATAAACACTTACTTTAGTTACTTTGATCACTATTTCATTTTTTAAACATCTCCTGAAAATGAATAGATTGGCTGTTTTAAATCTCATTGTCGACTGTGTTTCAGTTTCAACTCTTTATTTTCTCATTTCTCTTTCTGCTCAAAGAAACAAAATTGCAAAAAATTAACATTTCTAATTGTCTTTTCATTTTATTTGCTTAGCACGACCCATTGAAGCTGCTGTTAAACCCAAAGTAGAGGAATAATCAGCTGGTTATTTTATTCAATGTTTATATTCATCATCATTAATCATTCTCACCACCATTTTCATAGCTACCATCTTCATAGCCGTTAACAACATCTATATTCATCAACATAATGGACGAAACCTACAAATCTCACCTTAACAAGTCAGCTTTAATGAAGTACCCATTACATCAACTACTGACCACTTAATTGTTGAACAATTAACTTTCCTAAGTAGTGAAACAAATTCGGTAAATTTAACCTTAAAGATTATGTTTGCTTCAGTCAACCTTTTTTTACCATTATTAATATCATTTGAATTATCGTCATGTAATGTAAAAGTTGTTGTTACATTACCATTTATTGTTAACCTTACTTGATTAACTATACTTACTTTCATCAACTTGCTACCCGTTAATTGTGAATCGTGTTAATTTCATCTTCATTCATTTTTTTGCTAACAGTTAATAGAAACAGTTGGAGACTGATTAATTTACCTGAAGGCCATTGTTTTATAACAGCCAAAAACAACAATTACTATTACAATTGAATATTGTACAATATACTTTTTATTTTAAAATCTAATTACTACAATTAATAACTCTCTAATCAACATTTAACTAAACCATTTTTATTCATTAATTGCTGTTCAAATGTTAAAGAGATGAAAGCAAAAATTTTGATAAGTAAATAAAAAATGGTCAACATAAAGAAAAGTCTATCCAATTGTATTCAAGTTTCGGACAATACTTGATCACAATATGAGGTAAGATGATTAATTACATGGAAACACCTTAAATTACAACTGAAATGTTTCCCTTGTTTTGTTTTTCAATCAATGATCAATTGATTATTCAAATTGAACTTCAATGTAAACTGGTTTACTCGCTTTCAAATACAAACATGTATAAAATCAAACTCGAATCGAAATTTAAAGTCAGACTTTTCATCTACAAACAGATTCCAAATAAATTCAGTTGATTGGAATTAACCAGAAGCTTTATGAGATTTCAAAAGATCCATGATGATCAACTAAATCATCTTATCTATTTAACAGCTAAACCGAGGGCATTTTACTATTGAATTGACCATGAAACTGACCCAGGCCTTAATAAGTAATTTGTGAGGACAAGATGAAAATGCTTGTGTTGTGTCTGATGCAGTTGATAAGGAAGAGAGGTAATTTTGTCTAATTGTTAATCATTGGCAGAAGTTAACCTTGGAGTTAATTATAGTTGAATGAAAAGATAATTTTAAATCAAAAGTAAAATTAAAGACAAATGATTGATAATCTACTCTTAATGGCGAACATAGTATTTCAAATTGTAAACATTTTTAGACTTATGCATTACTGAATTTTCTTATTCAAAATTTTTCTCTTTTTTTTGAGACCAACCTCATACAATTGCGATTCAATCAGATTTATATTAAATAATATGTTAAATTAACTTGATGATAACCGATTGTTGTACTCAAAATATATTTAGGTTAATTTATGTTTGATTTACAAAAACAGCAAATGACAACCAAGAAAGTTGTACAGTTTCTTGCATTTGGTTGTTTATGGAGAAGGTTATTATTAACGTTATAATAATGGGTTATTAAAGTTTATTAATTACACCAAGGAACAGATTAATTCCATAAGCATTGTCACGAATAATGAAGCCAAAAGGATGATTAACAATGAATCGAGGTCCTCTTGATCGAGCTAAAATGGGAAGCTTGTAACTGCCCACAGATCCAGAGGTTTGATGTTGTGATCCTTCTTCACTGATTTGAATTAGCGAGGTGTGCATTGAATCGGTCACTTTGAGTCCTTCTGAGGGTGAGATTGTGAAAAAATCGGTATTTGTAATGAAAGGTAAAAATAATCCCATATCTGGTAATATTTTATTCAGATCATATCTTCCTTCCAGCCTAAACTTTGGCAAAGACAGTTCAACCGTTTGCTGGGTTAACGAAGAAATCATTGAATTGAGTTGGTCCGTGGTGAGTGAATTAAGGAATTTAGTTAATCCAGGTTGGTGGGTCAATTCAACAGGCAGAATAAGAATCAGCGAAATGTCACCCTGAAAGGGAAGCTCCAACATTTTCATGTTTACATGCCAAAACTCGGCATATCGATAGCTACCAGTGGTTGACATCATTTGAACATCACCCAGGCTACCATCATAATTATAAAAGGTACGAGCAGCAGTTAGAGATCGGTCAAAGGGTAACTTCCAATTGCCCTCGAAATAAATTACATTGATTAAAAGAAGCTTGGTTAAATAGTCAAATGGTTGGTTAAACAGTTTAACCATCTTGTTATTTGTCTTGGAAGCAACCCATTTGTTAACCTTGTTCATTATCTGGTAACCCTCTGCAGTAAAATCTTCCTCGGCCACCGAGGCATGGTACTCATTGAGCAAATGGTCCGCATAATCTGCCAAAATAGGAAACGCTTTATCAACCAAAACCAGATTACCAAGTTTAAGGGTAAAATTACGTTGCCAACTGCGTATCTCAATCATCTTATAATCAAAGACAAGCTTTGGGTTGAGATGGTAACCAGTTGAAGAGGGAAATCCAAATATGAAATAAAAGCAAAAATGGAAGACAAAAGGAAAATTAATGGATAATTAATTTACTGAACAATTTTAATTGTAAATGATTAAAAGAAGAAAAAAAGAAATCAAAATTCTGAATCTTCCCCTTTACCAAATTTAAACAAAAGCTACATTGATTGACCCTTAAAATAGCAAAAAACGAAGGTAACAATTGAAGTAAAAATAATACCAAAGCTAATGATAAATGTGTGATCAAGTCATTTGCAATGATAATTTTTCCAGCGCTTTAGTGTTTCAATATGTTAATTATGGTCAAATTATCGGAAGCCTGAATCAATCTTATCATTAAACCATGATCATCACACACAAATGTACAGAGTAAAAAGTATATACAAAGGCAACGTTTTACCCTGAAAAATCTAATGGCCAGTCTAATAGTGAGATTGATTAATCAGATAGCAAATGAATGACAGACGCTTTTCAAGGTTCCTTTGGTCATTTTACTTTGATTTACCAATAACAATTAACCTATGACTTTCAACAATTAACATCAACAATGGACAAGAGAGCAACATTGATGTAAACAACAAAATAACTTGTATTTGCCATATTTTTAGGTTTAAAAGCATGAAAACGTTTTAATGTTGATTGATGAAAGTGAAATGATTAGGAAATGAATAATAATAAACTGATCAAGGTTGAAGTTATTTTGTTGTTCAACTGCAAAAATTAAATGATAGTTAACACTATTGACAATCAGATTATGGATTAGGCCTATTACCTTGATTGTATGATCAATAATTCAATGTTTTTATTGTAAAGGAATCAATCATTGCAATTATCCAATGTCATTAACAGTGAACACCACAATCATGTAATATTGTAAACCATTAAAAAAGGGTTTACATGATAAAGAGAAAAGATTTCAACTTGAATTGCATTTCAATTGTTAACAGATTTTAATCCAATCTCAAGTCTAATTGTATTAATAAATTTGCACTTGTAATCTAAATTCATTGTAACACCTTAAAATAAATGTTGATTTGACCATTTAACTCATTCAATGTAAACATGTTTTCAAAATGGAAGCTTGATTTTCACTATTCTCATCAAATGGACATTCAATTGGTCAATTTGATTCCCTTATTGATGAAAGTTTATTGACTGATTATTGTTTTTGTTTGCTGTGGTTCATCACAGGTTGGTAACATTGGCCAATGTTGATGAACTGTTTTCATTAAATACTTCAGCTATGGTCAGGGAAATTGTTTCATTTTATGGTTGAATAATCAATCTAATCATGATTAAGATTTTCTGTCAATCTATCAATGCTTCTGTTTTTTCCTGCTTGGCAAGAAATGAAGTCAATATTTTAAGCTAAAAATGATTTCGAGTGAAAGTAAGGAACAGACAAGATTCATTGACCAAAAAGATTGGACTCAATTTTTGTCCATCCGAGGACAAAAAGGAAGCCTGTTGGTTAGTTTAAGGTAATCGGCAATTAAAGATCTAAATTAACTGTTCATTTGAATTGGAAATTGATTGATTTACATTCAAATTGATATGGATTTGCTGGTAAAGTTGAACCAAAATATTGAAAACTGGTTAAGCAAAGCAAGGTCTTTTCACTTTTGGGTTTCAAATTTTGTTTAGTTTTTAGCACCTATTGAGTTTATTATTAATTTGAATAAATTTACTCACCTCTTTGAATGCAGCATGAATCTCATCTGATGTCTTGAAGCTCAGTGGATACTGAAAAGTATTGATAATCTGTTGAGCTGTTAAACCACTTGCACCTCTTAAAAGCATTGAGTACATCATTGAGATACTGAGAGGTGAAAAGAAGACATTTTCAGACAAATTGTGGACTGAACGGTAAAATGAGAGGGAAAATTGGTTGATTGGTAGCGCTAGAGATGAAGTTGAATTGAAACTGTTTTGAGTTAATCCAAATTGAACAAGAAAACAGATTAAATAGATTAAAGTTAAAGGTAAAGTAAATAGATTCATATTTGATTCCAGTTGATCACATAAAGTGAAAGTGAAACAGACAAAAGAGCATGAAATTGACTTTGTTTAGGTAAATTGATGAAAATTTTTTCTCGTTGAATGTTAATTTAAAATTACTACTGCTGAGTTGTGTTGAATGGTTAGATACTTGTGATAACTTGTGATTATAATTGTGAAAATGATGAAAAATACAAAAGAGTTGTGGAGTTAAATTGAAGAGGTTGGACCAACGATCAGCAAATGTCTGTGAAGCAAAAACACGGAGAGAAGTGCGATTCACAACAGGAAAAGGTAGGCAATGAGTATGAATCGGAAAATGTTGATTATGTTGATGATGTTGATGTTGGTTGGAATATAATTTACTGAAATGAAATTAAAATAAAACTGTGAAACTTCAATTGAAATATCAATACATTTCAACGCGTTTCTTGGTCTACAGTTGTGTATCAAGGTCACCTAAGAAGGCGGATCTTTCTCGGTTGCAGTAACATTGAAGACCAGCCTAAGATGAAGCAGTAATGAAAGTCAATTTTCACTTAAACTTGACTTTAAGAGATGGTCAAATGATGATTAAACTGATTACTGGTTAAACAATTAATCTAAACAGTTAATATATTTTAAAAGTGCTCTAGTAAACTGGTGAAATGGCGACAAATTTTAGGTAAACTCAACCTTATGCCAAATGTAAATGTCGGGTTACTTTACTGGTTGTTGCTGTTGATTGTTGTTCATTATTATGATTAATATTGTTTGCATTGTTTCTTATTGCCAACATTATTGCATGATTATTAACTTTAATAAACAAGGGTTGATTTGTTTTTCCTCCTACAAGTACAATCAACCTCTTAATTACTTGAAATACAATTCATCTTGTTCCTTTAAATACAATGTACTTTGAAAGATTTAATATAAAGACCAGTAAAATTGTAATTCCTTGCTCTTTTAAACCAGTTTGACAACAGAATTACGATTGTTAATAGTCAAGTAAATAACAATAGCCTAGGAAATTCAAGTATCCAACTTAATTCAATGTTTTCCCTCATCACAATCATCATTATCATGATTAACTTGTTTACATCTTTCCATGTTTCACTTGATAAACAAGATCAACAATGAATCTTGAATTGATCAAGATCGGGTTGATGGTGAAGATGATGATGATTAAGGATCCTTTTTTGCGTGTTTAGTTAACCTTACAAAGGGATTATCGTTGGTTGATTGATAACTTTTTGCCTCTCATTTGGCTATTAACTTTCCCTTTGTCAATTAATTAATGTTTTGATTGCCAATTGCAATGAAATATAATGACTGTGATAATTTTGGTTGAGCAACGTTAATAAAAGGCCAAGTTGTCGATAAAACTTGATTTGTTTTGAAAGCCTTTTTTATTTGTTTGCTGAATTTCATTGATCCATTCAATATAATGATAATTCATGTTTATATTTTTCTTGTCTCTTGATGATGTTCAGTTTGAACAATTGATGGGTGAACAAAAGATTGATTCGGGTTTTTCAAGTTGATGCAAAAAATAAAGTTACACTGATCATTAATTATCAACGATATTTTAATGGTTGTATCATGAATTGTGGTGAAACCAAAAACATTGTCATTAATGAAGGTTACGATTTCAATTTTTGAATCCAATTTTAAACACAATTGTTGAACACAAAAAAAGAGTGAGATAATCAAAAGTCCATTTACAGTTGTGAATCGAGCGAAAACTGAGCAAAGAAGATAGACTTTTGTTTTCGGTTGAATTTTGTTGACAATTTTATTTCACAGATTCTGATGACTAATTAGCAGTATTGTCTGGTTAAAATATGTACGTTAAAGCTGATACTATTGTAACTGTCCATTCAATCACTCCGACAGTAATAGCTTTTTATGCTTTCTAAATCACCCAAACTCTTCACAGTTAACCAACGAAATCAATTAACCAGATTTATTACTTTGACTTTAGTAAATCCGGCACGCACTGTACTAATTATATACCAATAATATGAGTTAGTTTATAACGATCATGGATATCAACTATCGCAAAGACTTGAAGATACAAATAAGATACAAATACAGTTTGAGTGAGTTTGAGTATCCAGCAATAGATGGCTGCTCGAGTCTAACAAGTGAAATATTAATTTTTCAGGTTTTCTTGTGGCAGATCAATGCTAGCAATGGACGATCTTTGAACGTATCAGTTTACTAATCCAATGTTCAATGTCGAGGATAACTTGGTACCTATTCTGGTAGTGATTTTTACTAGAATATAGATTTTAGCAAGAGATTTTTCAAGAATTGCAAGCAAGCTTACATACAGTGATTATACGTTTATTTTTACAAAAATCCGAAACATCCCTTGATTAGAACAAACTTTCTGCTTGAAAAAATTAACCACTTGTCTAGTTATGCCATGTCTTTTAGCGACTATCGATGGACTCTCTTCTTCACATTCTAACTTTATATTTGATTCCTTTGATAAAAGTAATCTAACTAACCTTCATACCTTATATTAATACTTTTTGATTTCATCCAAAAAATAGCAATACAGTGAAACTTTCAACAATTTAACGCCGTGTTAGTGCATTCAGCTTCTACAGTATATATTGTTTCAAAAAGACATCTATTAGAATTGAGATAACGAAACCGCCAGTGATTCAACGATGATCTGTTCAAGAGAAATTAACGATAATTATCGATATCGGAACCGAACAACTCTAGATGCTATGCATACGTTTGAGCTCGTTGACAGCATTTTTGTCTCGGATAATATTTTGTAATATCTTATATTTATGGACTAAATAATAGAATAGTTTGATGATAGTTTGAATAATTATGAACAATTCTAACTAACAAATAATATTTTAATTTTTAATGCTTAATGAGATTTTTACAATGAAAGATGACAAAAAATGATTTAATTAATTTACGCTAATTTAGCTTAAATGTTTCTCTACAAGAGAATCTACATTTTCGTTCATAGCTATCAAATAACGTAGCTTTTCAACTAGCTTAGGAAATGGTACAGTTGACTTTTGTGTTTTTGTTTTTTTTTCGGGGAGCAAGTGATCCCTTCTGCCAATTGCAGCAATTGGCTTATGGTCATTTGCAAAAGTTGAATCTACCTTTTCAATTTTTTGAAGTTGCGATATAGTCAATTGCATGACCACGATTTGCATCTTCAAATTCCAATGGAACAAGTTCACATTTCAGCATGCGATAACAAACGATCACGATGGCTGTCACTAGATTTCCTTCATACTCGTAAAAATTGGTCCGAATTTTCCGAATGTTCACGTTGTTGGCCATCGCAAAATTCGGATTTAATGAGCCGCAATAGTCGGTTCCAAAGGAGGTCAGAACATTCACTTATTGGAAGCAGCAAATGCAATTATGGTCATTAGTGTAATTTTTGCTGAGGTAAGTTATCGCGTTCCAGAAATTGTTCTGTTTTTCACAATTAAAAGAAAAAACTAAAAAGATAAATTATATTTTAACACAATTGGAAGAAGGAAACTAAAATTTGAATTTTCAGAATAATTGAAGAGGATACTAAGGAGAACTTTTCAGAAAGCGCTAAATTTAAAATCAAATAGAATATTCATTATTTGTAAATACAGCCAGATACGTGGTCGTCCTGGTAAGGAGATAGAAGTGTCCGTCAGCTCACTTCTCTTCTTCACTTCTCGGCTTATACTTAAACTCCCTCTGTTGTCGGCGTAAACAAAAACATTAACTTCGACAATTGGATTAAATTTAACACTTTTTATTGGATTATCATTTGAAATAGACTTACTTTAATTACACATATGTTAAAGGTCTATTTAAACGAAAAGAAATGGGTATAAATAAGATGCACAACTAGGATTCCTTCATTTTCAAGTATTCCCTCTGTCGATAAATTGCTCCACTTCGAGTTTTCAATATGTTACAATTAGAAAAATTGTGTTTAGATAATTTTGATAGTAAAATTAAAGAACCTGAGGAAGAAGTTCCTGGCCTTAATTTTATAATTGACTGTGGTTTAATACCGTCAAGTGATAGTAAACCTTGTTTTGTACCTGATTGTGATGGTACAATGGTACTGAGAAATTCACATCATTCAGTACTTAAAAAGGCCTTTATTTGCAACAAACGTAACTGTCGTAAACAAATGAATTGGAGTAAAGGGACCATTTTTGAAGGGACGAAATTGTCTATTTTAATGAATTTAAAGTTAATATTTTGTTGGATTTTGAACCTGAGGGCTGATAAGACAATGTTAATTTTGGGCAAAACTCGTGCAACTGTTGCTTTCGAGCTCTTAGAATGGTAATTATTTCTAATACTGTCATTTGTCAAATTTTTTACTAATTGTTTTCATTTACCTTTTCAGATTTGCTACAATGTTCTAAACAAAAATCCAATTCGTATTGGGGGGAGAGGGCATATTGTCGAAATTGATGAAACCATGATTCACAAGTTGAAATACAATCGAGGACGTTTGACAACCGATCAAGCAAATCAAGTCTGGCTTTTTGGAGGAATTGATCGCGAGTCGAGATTGTGTTTCGCAGAAATAGTGGAGACCAGAGATGCTAAGACATTATTAAGTGTTTTGCAAAAACATGTAGAGTTAGGGACAATTTATTCTGATGGTTGGGCAGCTTATAATTGTTTAAGTGCAAATGGCTACTACCATGATTTCGTCAACCATTCAGAAAATTTCCTTAAACCATCAGATAATAACGTGCATACTCAGAAGATTGAAAGGACCTGGAAATCATTCAAAGAATTTTTACCCAAATCATCGAATGGACCTAATCGTCAAGATTATCTTATTGAATGGCTTTATAAATCTAGATTTCATAGTCGAAACGAGCGTAGCCTTAATTTCCTAACAACTCTTGAGCATCTTAAAAACGACCCTTTTTCCCGCGATTCATTTGATTCCTTTGATTATGAAAACGACCCACTGATGAAATGAAATAAACCTTTAACATATGTGTAATTAAAGTAAGTCTATTTCAAATGATAATCCAATATAGAGTGTTAAATTTAATCCAATTGTCGAAGTTAATGTTTTTGTTTACGCCGACAACAGAGGGAGTTTAAGTATAAGCCGAGAAGTGAAGAAGAGAAGTGAGCTGACGGACTCTTCTATCTCCTTACCGTCGTCCTTATCTCCGGCGGACTTTCATTAGTATGAAAAAGCTTAAAAATCTCGAATTAAAATTGACACTGGGAAACAAGATAACACATAACACCAATCAAGAAGCTTACAATCATCTGATTGGATTGAGATGTAATTTAATTACTCAAAGTTGCATCAATGAATCCCAATGTTACGATAATTCGCATTCCTAGAGATTGGAAAGGGCAAATACTGCCTGAGGAATGAATTAAGATGAAGACCAAAGCAAAATACATCAGAAATGATGCAGACAAGATCAAGAGTTGGCTTTCTTGTAACATACAGCCTTGGCAAAAGATTGAACTTAACTCTTGCTTTTCAAAGTGCTAATCAACACTTACCTGATTCATGTTCAACTTGATCATGATGCTGTTTAGGGCGAAAAAGATGAAATAAGGAGGAGAAAATGATTGATTAAATGAATACAGTTGAACAGAAAAGACATCGAGTTTTGCCCATTTCTCCTTTTCCTTGACCAGATTCAACACAAAAAGAAATGCTAAAAAAACCTTTTATCAACTTCAATTTTATTTACCTCTCTATTAAAACAGTAAATATTGCAGTGAATGCAATCAATAATCAAAGCAAATCAAAGATGAATACATCATGTATAACAGCATACATAATTTAGTCGATTTACATTTCGATTAATTTGCTCATAGACAAATCGTGTTCAATCAATCTAATTGCATGATTACAATAATATCATCTTAAAGTTGTAAATTGGCCGTATTTTAAGTACCATCAATAAGATGCATAATGATAGCTTTGGTAGAGTTGATTTGAGATTAGTTGAGCTACAAGCAATTACAATCTTGAAGTACAATTTAAATCAGACAATTAAAGGGTGTAACACTTAACAGCCTGCAAACGAAGGAGGTAACAAGAAAATTAAGCTTACCTTTAATCACAAAATCTGGTAATATTAAGATAACAGCAACAGAAACAATGAAACCAAAATCTGTTGCTTCAAAATCTTCATAAATATCTCCATCAATATCACCAAATTTTGTGAAGCAAAGCTCAATTTTCTTGTTACCTTCTTCATTTACAGTCAGTTAATTGTTGCACACTTTAAATTGTATGAGTAGTTAAGATTGATTTAAGTGAATTGACAGTTAAAGCTATTTTACAATGGGAAAGTGAACAAAAGAAGGATTGACAAAAATTATCACAACTAAACGCTTAAACATACATGAAGCGTTTTATATCATTTTTCATGGTTTACATTCATTTACAGTGACCAAAGGGATTTAGTTAACAGTCAAGGTTGATAATTGAAGTGATAATCAATTAATCAATTTGCTTGAATGCATCAAACGCAAGTCACTTTTTATCAGACACAACCGATGAGTACCATTAAAGGTGCTCAGAGTGAGTGGGAAGTTTCATTTACTGTTTACCTTTAATTGTGATTTAGTCAATTAAATTTACTCGATTCAATCATTGAGTAAATTTTTCTAAATGAATCAATTAAAGTTAAATCAGCAATCATTACTTTCCTCGTAATAATAACAATATTATAACAATGATAATCTTTAAATCTCTAGAAATTTTGTTAACTCTTTTTTTGACAACAAAAATATTCCTTTCAATAATTACTAATTATTCCTTTTTAATTATGATTAATGTGCATAATCACTAAATGAGATTAGGAATAATTAACAGATCAACATTATCATCATCATTAGCAAATAAAACGTACATAAATCAATACATTGCAAGAGTCTCGAGATTCATTTGTTGACAAATTTTCTCTCGAAGTTTCTCTTCAAAGCTCGAATTACTTAAACAAATTGTTTAGTTATTGTCATTTTAAATTGTCTAATTTAAACTATTTGGACAACAAAATTAGATGATTCAAGTGACAATCAATAATCAAACAATTCGGTTCAATGTTACAAAGTTTGATTCGTTTTTGTTTGCAACACAAATGATGGTGATAATTGTAACAATTACAAGACAATTAATACAATAACAATGGCTACTTCTACAAGTGGTTCAACAGTTTTTCATAAAATTTAAACTTGTCAACAATTTTGTGGTTAAATTTTTTCATCTCTCACTTTAAGTTTCACTATATTTACAATTATCATTGATTGATTATTGCACCTTATTTTTACAATCAGTTTCACTATCATTAGTTTTCATGTCACTTGAACTTATTTCAATGTGATTATTATCAACTATTTCCAGCTTTATTTCAATAGTTTCAGTCTCAGGTTCACCAATTATTGATCCATTTTCACTAGTTTCGTTATTTGACTTTGCCAGTGTACAATTGATTGTATTGTTGTGTGAACAGTCGTTAACAATTTCACATTTTTTCACTTCATTATCAATCTTTATTTCATCCTTGGAAATCAGTTGAGTTTCCTGGTTCAAGTCATTAATATCTGCTTTAATTGGACTTTTATCACCATTCATCTTCAATTTAATCGTATTGTCCAAATCAGTAGATTGGTTACATTGCTTAACTTCAGTTGACTCTTTACTTGTTGCCTTGGCTTTAAGCTTAAGACAAAGTTCCCTGTAAAACAAAAGATAAATAATGTAAAATTGAATTAGTAAAGAAAATTTGATGAATTGAAATTGTGGTTGAATCGATTCAACTGGAGTGATTAAAAAAGATAAAGGTAAAGTCAAATGCATCTACAGTGATTAAATTATCATTTGAAAGCAGCAATTAGTCATTGCATAGTTAGAGTCCAATTAAGCCAAAAGCTTGGATATTTAACAGAGCAAAGGTTAACCAATTGGAAATAATTTGGAAAAACTTACTTGGAATACAAATTGAATAAATCTAAAAGTAACAAGTCCAGTTGATTGTATTAAGTACAACTATTTGATTAAAGCTTATGAAACGTTAATTTATCGATATTAATGAGAAAGAAATAGAGTGAAACAAATAATGCTCTTGTCAGGTTAATTGAAAACTAATTGAGTCGATGGTAAACAGTGAATGAAAACAAAGGGTTGAAAAACAGAGAAAAGTGAAAAGGAAACTGGAAAAATGAATAGACAAATTGTTACCTCATTTGAAGTAAACTTCCTTCAAGACTTGAGGCGAAATAATTTGATCCAGTTTCCGGCGATGAAAAGAAAGATGTAATACAAAAGGTAATCGTATTATCAGTTAATCGATAAGCACATCCATAACCTTCCGGTGTAACAGCTCCATAACCAACAAGAATCAGCTTCCGATAAACCAATTGACTGGTTGATAATTTAAAATTGAGATGTTCTTTGTAAGATTTTTCCCTGAAAATCAGAGGAATCTCAAAATTATGCACTTTGGCCAGACCTTGGAGTGCATATAGATGATTATCTGGTCCATAACCATCAATAGTCTTTATCCAGTGACAATCCAAAATCCATATCAAAAAGATGACCATCAAGATTGACCAGTGTAATTGAAAAGCAAAAGAAGAAGAAAAATGGAAGAGAAAAAAAAGAGTAAAATAAGTAAATTGAAGCACGAAACAAAAATCTAGAATAGAATACAAATTGACTCAAAATAAATTCAAAAGATGAACTTGGAGAGAGAAGAAAAATAAGCTCTGAAAATAAGCTGAAAAATAAGTGAAAAAATGTTTCATGTAAAAAGTCTTTGAGTTTTCATCCATTTCAGAAAGCTTTGATTATTAAGACAAGTTCAACTGAGATCTAACTAGACTTGGGATCAACTGCTGGGAAAGTAAAACTCTGTTTACCTGTAACATTACAGGCAAATATAATGATAATAATGATGATGGAAAACAAAAAACAATGAAAATAATAATAATAATAATAATAAATTGTCTAGTTGTTTAGATACATTTTACAATTAAAATGTGTAATATTGTAATATTGTATTATAAGAGGTTAAGGGATGTGATTAAGATGAAGCTAAATATAATATGAATAACGTGCAATGTAAATATAATCGTGATATAATATTACTGTACTACATTGAAACTAATAATAATTATAATAATAATTTGATATTAAGAAAAATGAAGTAAAATGAGAGAAGAGAAAAAACTTTGTTCAGAATTTTTATTCCATTTTTCCCTGGTTCGTTCTTGTATCATAGCATATTAGCGATATTTGCATTATCATTTAACATTTATTCACATCTATTTTACTCCAAGACTACATTATTAATGTGTATATACCTTTATGAGTATATACATTTAACTACAAGGTGTTCACAATCAATGAATAATATTAACTCAACATTTTTGTTCAATCATTTTTTTGTCTTCCTTTTCTTTAAACTCTTTCCAGTAATTTGAATAATTTTTCATTTTACAGTTAATTTGTACTTCAATATCTGCCAGCCATTGAATAAGATGACATTATTGAAGATGGGTAAAGAGTTGAGTTGGGAACAATTGGGAAAAGGCATAAATTGTTAATAACAAATGATGGGCAAGTTGATTGAAACTGCCTGTAAAAAATGTATTATGCTGATTGAACTGATGGCTCAACTCAATTCAATTTTTGCTGATATTTTCATTTGTTTCTCTTTTCTTCAAGAGATTCAAGATATTCCAACTCTAAGGTTCTCATATTTATCTCTAGTTGAATATAATAAATAGTAATATTAATCATTTCAAAGTTTTCATTAATATCATTACTATTCAAAATGGTTTCAAATTTAGTTTTGTTTCAATGTCTTTGATACAATAAATTGTTTCCATCCTTCAAACTGGCAAACCATCAAAGTAAGAAAATGGTAATATTTACAATCCATTAATCAAACTCGTATTTTCAATCTACTTGAAGTTTCAATTTACAGAGCAATTAATGTTATGATGTTTGACTAACGTCTAATTGTGAAACGATAAATGGCTAAATTTAAGTTCATTTGTAAATTTAAAATTGCAATAACTGGATCGAAAAAGGTTAACTTTTTGAGTTTTAGCAATTTCAACTTTAAATTCACATGAGCTCAAGATATAATTATTAGTTTTTTTGGTGATTCCTAATGAGAATCGTGTTGAACTTGATGAGAATCAAATTAAAACTTTTCAATGTAGAAACAAGTTGAAGATGATGAAGAGAGCTGATTGAACAAGATGATGAAAATAAGGATTGAGCAAAATTTGTAAAAGAGCAACATCATGTTGGAAGAGGGATGAAAATACAAACTCCCCGGAGGGATTTTTAAATAGAGAGGGAGGAACCGAGGAAAGAGGATGATAAAGTTTCAATTGCAATTGTTAAAAACTTTCATCTTTTACCAGCAAAATATTGCAGGCAAGAAGAGTAAATTAACTGTTCTTATTCAATGTCATGTAATTTTATGAATAACTGTTTGAGTAAACAATTACGAAAGAAAAGTTCTTTTTTTCCTCTTTTCTTTTTGTTGCTTCTTCCATGATCATTATCATCAGAGTAAGCATCAGTTTCATCAGCATCATTTTCCAGAGAATCTTGAATATATTAATTGAGAATAATTTGATTCCACTGTAAATATAAATGATGATAATTAATTCCTTACATATTTTGCTATTTCCACTTGTTTTTTAATTGCTAATTGAAATAGATCCAATTTTTGTTGATCCTTTGATTTCCATGGTTAAATGTTGAGTCCAAAAGGTAATAATGAGAAGGAGATAAAAGAGAAAAAAAGAATCACAATTAGTTTTAATGAACATTAATCAAGCAAATAATTTAATTTTCAATTATTTTTGGTTAGGTTCTGGACATGGAATGGGTGAAAAGCCAGAAGTTTAAAGGTTTGTTCAAAATTTCAAGTGAACCTTATTGAAGTAAAGTGTAAATTGCAAAGTAAATAATTGTAAACCCTTTAATGTGTCGCATAATTAATTGTAAACCTGATTAACCTTAATTAGATGACATGGTTTGTGTTGAGTTGAGGAAAATAGAGTAAAGAGAAGAAAAAATTTCAATCATAATTTTCAACTGATTTTCAAGTAAATTACATTTCAAGTCTCAAGCCTCAGGAGGACAATAATCTTACTAGATGATGTTAATGATGACTCTGATCATGAAGATAAACTTGATAGTATATTTGAGATGAAAATGAAGATAATCATTTTCCATCTCATCATCATTATCATCATCTTTACAATGAACCTCTCAATCTATGAAGAAATGAATCGATTCATCTTAAACGGTCATCAATTTTGTTACTCTTTTGTTGATAAAGATGAATTGAAAATGAAAAAACATGGAAATATAAAAAAACGATGATAAAAATCATTATCGCCATCATCATGAGTTGAAGGTGATATTGGACAAAACTAGCAAGATCTGTTGGTGTTTGATGTTGATCTTCAACTTTATTGAGATGAAGACGGTAAACATGATGGAAAGCCTTTCCATTTTAGAGAGAAAATATTTGCTTGTTTATCAACATTATTCATAATACAACACAATCCAATTAATATTATTATTGATGATGATAATGATAATAATAATAACATGTTTGATATTTGGTTAAATTGGAAGAACCAATATTTACCGTTAGATTAGGAATCTCATCACAAAGAGCTCGAACCCAAGCCAATACTTCAATTGTGTTGCTTCTTATGTTGTCAACTCGGCCAAGACGATATTTCCGAAGGCTTGCACTTTCATAGGTTGATACCAATCGTCGATGAACTTTGTAATAGGTTAACTGAAGAGAGAGCTGGATAAATGCATCTGGAGACATGGACTGATCAATGATGAACTTTTTACCAAATATTGTAAAATTGAGATCAACTAAGTCAACATCATGGATAAGCCTGAGAAAAAGAAAACATGTGAGAAAAATGAATCTCTAAACAGATCAAACAACTGCGAAAAATCATGTTAATTACAAGTTTAATACCATGTTAAGCCTTGTTAAATATTTAATCTTTCACCTTTTTTCTGTAACTATCATTACAACCCTGATTCATTAACATTTGATTGTTGTAGTTTGGATAAATTATACAATAAAAATGATTAACTAAAAAAGGAAATTACAAACACTTTTGTATTTCATTTCAAAATATTTCAAACCTTTATCAATTTAAGTTTCTTTTTATTTTCTTTTTCTTCTTATTGCTTCAATAACCTTTCTTTGCCAAGTGTTGGGTTAATCTGAACGTGAATTGAAAAGTTGAAATGAGTAGATTCAATTTTTCAATGGTAAAGTTTCACTTTTCACTTGATTAAATAGAAGTTTCACAGAAAGAAAAGAAAACTATCAAATGATATAAAAAAACCAAAAGTTGGTTAATCACCAAATTCAGTGAACATGAAAATATATAAATTCATTCAAGTTCACAGGGTAAATTGATATTTAACCTTAGAGACTGAAACTTGAGAAAAAGAAACAGCAACAATCAAATGTCAATTTAAAGTTTAACCATTCGAGATTTCAAGTGGTTATTTCAGTGTTTATAATACGCACTTGTTAATTCGTTTGGCAGCTTCCTTGATTGCTGAGACAACAACGCAATCAACATCCCATGTTAACCTTTGAACATCTTTACTTGATAAATGAGCCGATGAATTTTTACAATTTGAAGCTGTTCTTTTGAGCGATTCCTTCCTTGAAATATCATTTAAAGGTGTTATTGGATTCGATTCAAGATAATCTAGCAAGGAGTCGGCATAACGAATCAAAGTAATTCCTTCTGAAGCCGAGTGTTCAAAGACGATTCCAGCAAGTCCATCTCTCGAAACGATAATCTATATCATTAAAGGAATAAATGGAAAGGATTGCAATTAGTGATTTGTTTTTTTTGTTCATTTAAAATTCGAAGTCAAGTGAAGTTTCAAATCTAATTGTAATGAAGCAAAATTGAATTTTTTAGCTGTTGCCTTGATCTGACAAAGGCAGAAAAGTGTTAATTGTTTTAAGGTCTGTTAATGGTTTCAAAGCAAACAACTGTGATTTGTGACTCGAAGATAAACAATTGGTGATACTGATGTTGCTGATGATGATGATAATGATTAACATGATCATGTTCATCTACTATCAGGTTGATTCTGTATCACAAAGAGGAACAACTTATTTTGAAAAGAAACAAGAGAAAAGAAAAATTGTCTATTACAGTTTTCCCTTGTTTCTCTCTTCTTTCCCTGCCTCTCTAGTAGTTGTTGTATTAGTGAAACATTGCCTTAGGAGCAATAACTTACATAGGCAGCAAAGGGAGAGACACATAACAATTTGTTATTTTTGTGATCAAAGCCAATGGTAAAAGTAAGCAAAAAAAAACTCTAGACCCCATACCTGACACTCAGCCACAAGCAAAGTTTGTCCAAATTGAGCTTCACTCTGCAACAACAATCAGTATATTTTATTTTCAATCACTTTTCATTTCTATTTTTCTTCCTTTTCTTCCTTTATTTTATCTTCCTTCCTTCCTTTACAATTTCTCATTCTCTCTCATCATCTCTCATTTTCTCCCACTCTTCACCTTCCATCTTCCCTTTTTCCCTATTATCTTCTATGCATTCTCATTACCTTTCCTATTTATTTTCACTCCTAGTTATATTCACAATGCTTATTCTCATTTTCTCAAAACTTTCTCTTTTCTTCTTCTTCTTTTTCATCATCATTCTTCTTTCCTTCTTCCCTATTACAACTCTCCAAGTCCTCTTCGCATCTTCATCTCTTGTCCCTCCCAGCAAAGGGAAAAAACTTGTGATTCTATAACAATTTTTTCTCTTCCTTGCTCTTCTGGCTCGTCTTCTTACCATGAAAAATTATGCTTAATCTTGTGGGAAATTCAATTTTTCTTAGCAAATTGACAACCCTAAAAAAGACAAAAGCAAAGATCAAGTTAAAGACAATGTGGAAGAGAAGAGAAGATGATGATGACGCAATGAAATGCTTGAAAAAATGTAGACCTCGATTCAAGTGGGTAACTGTGAATCCTTTGATAAATATTTCACCTTGTTAAGTTGATTGTCTTACGTACTAATGGACCATACGTATATATAAATATATATATAAATTAAATCGATTCATGTCAAAGTGTTCCAAAGAAAATGAATTTTATCCTGTTCAAAGCAACTACTTGGGGTCAAAATGGCAACTGTTGAGATTTGACTTGACTTTGTTTCACACAAAATTGTCTTGGTTTTGCTGAGTAAAAAGGAAAGAGAAAAGAAGAAATGAAGAAAAAAGAAGACAAAAATAACCAATAATAGGACCACATAGAACTCTGTGTTCTATTGATTCTATGTGATTAGGTAAGTTTAATAGGACCAAAACTGCTACTTAATAAACTCATTAAGAGTAAAGTAATAGTTTGAATATAAATAAACTAATCAGAGGAAATGTTTTCCTTTGTTGGTTTTGTTTGTTATCCAATTGAATGGATCATTAATTAGAGAATGGTTAAATAAAATCATCAGAGTCACAATAATGAGAAAATGTTTCTTGAGTCTTCTCTTTTTTTTTCTTATCTCTTTCCTTCCCTTTCACCTTTCATCCTTTTCTCAAAGGTAAATCTTACCTGCAAGAATTTGTCATAATATCTGTTTGCAGAGTAAAATTCAGTACCACCTCCATGCATTAATTGGGATGACATGAATGATGTTTCCATGCGAGCCATTTCAACGGAATCTCGTCGAGTACTGGCAATTGAAGATGATTTGCCAAACACAGAGTCGTCCAAGCAAAGAACAAACAAACATGTCTCCAAGGCTTCGATTGATTCTTTATTCTTGGGCTCTAGAACAAAAAGGACAAAAATTCAATTAAATTCATGGTAGTGTTAGTTAATTGATAAGTTAACATCAAGTTGATTAAATTTCAATAAAGCATGACTTGAACACAAAGAAAAAAACATCAGAAGTTACGACTGGTGAGTACCAAAAGAGCAAGTTTAAAGGCCATTGGTTCAGGCCCAAGAGCATAAATTGAATACAAAATTTATATCCAAAAGCATATTTCAGCAACGAGATCACAGATATTGAAAATTTAATGAAATAATCACCATTAAAAAACAATTTATGGAAGTAACTGTAACACAGAAAAGATTCACACGTGTAAAGCCAACCGTCCAAGGTTTCTACTTTGAGCTCCACACATTTCAATTGTAACTATCAAATGTCTTCTACATTTATTTTTAGACATTGTCGATATAATCAACTCAGTTAATTAAAATAACAATTAAAGGGTAAATTAAGATAATCTAAAACAGTAATTATGGATTAACGTGGTTTAAAACAATAGCATGTAAATTGGAGGGAGAATTTAAGGGAAAATCTGTAAATCTAATCTTGTAACTTAATCATGTGACAATTGCCCAAGCCTTTTGTATATCAACCCCACCATTTGGTTAAATTAAAAACTACAAACATAAACATTGTTAACCCAAAAAAATAGCAAATAGTTAACTTACTTTCAATTAAATGTGCTCTAATTGTTGCCCATGTCCGTCTATTTTCACATGTTAACAGTCCAATTAATGGTGATGTTGATTCCAGTTCTTTGGATGAATACAAAATTAACTTCAATTGGTCAACCAAATGATCCTCATTAACTTGATAACCTTTACCAAGATTTACTTTGTAAAACTGTATACAAATAAAGTGTAAAGTAGGTAAAGATTTTATTTTATTTTTCCTTCCCTAATTTAAATGTTGATCAATGATAAAACCAGATTTACTAATCAACTGCTATTGACAATTTACAGCCTTGGTTAGTGCAAATTTTAACCAATAAAACCACTGGTTCAACAATAAATGCCATGAAATGTACAAGTATAAAATTGGGTTGAATGGATGTTACCTAATAATAAGCTCATTTATTGAGAAAAGGGTTTAAAAGTGAGAATGTTAACAGTTTTGTTGAACATTATAATGATCAATGTAATAATGAATTGGCACTAATGATGGAAGACAAACAATCAAATAAACTGTAGAGACAACATCATTAGAAGAAGCAAAGAAGAAGAAGAAGGAAAAAACGGATTCAATGATGAATGATTGAATCAATGCTTAAACAAATGTAATCCTCTTTAAATCCTTTTGGGAAATATAAAGTAAAAAAAATGGAGCAACTAGTTGATTACCTGTTTACACAGAAATCAAAAAGAGGTTAAATAATGAGCAACAAAAAAATGGTTCAAAAAATAAAATAAAAACTCAAAGGTAAGGTAAACAAGGTAGACATTTATAGCAAGATAACAAAAGTTAATAACTTGATCAACAAACCTAAACCAGAAGCATTAACAGCAAAGGGATTGATAAAAGACAGTAAACAATAAAGCAAATTAAAAAATTAAATCAAGATTTCAATAAACAATTACATGAAACCTAAATGCCTGAATAAACAGCAATCTAACAAAGTAAATTGATTTGTTTAAACATGATCTAACCACAGTTATCCAAACACGAGATGAACATATAACATGAACCAACACTCCAAGAATCAGCTTCAGATTATTCAGCGTTTTTTTGTTCAAAGATTGTCTCAAAACCAATGATTTTTATGGTAAAACAAAGTTCATCTCAAGATGAAGCTCAACCAGATTCTTGAATGATTTAAGGTGAAACTGAATAAATTGACTTTTGAAATGAAAAAGCGATATTTATCATTTTCTAATAGTTAAATCTAACCTTTTTCAATTCCCTCAAGTCTTATTACTAGAGACAAGACTGTTCAATTTTAACATAATAACTCCATTAATGATGAACACTCGACTGAATTATTTAAAGTAAGGTAACAAAAAAGATGCGGAAATGCACGTGTTGTCATGCTATTTGATCAACAATTGAACAACATATGAAAATGATAGGTTAACACTGAATGATTGGTGAAGAGGAAAAGGTTGATACAAATTGTCCATTGAAAAGCTCTTTTCAAGTGAATTTTCATTCTTCAATTTTGTATCCTTTCATGATCATGAGCCACATTTAAATATCATTAGATAATCTTTAACATTTCAAAATAGTTATCATGATATCAAATGGAATGGCTGCAAAGAATGGAAAATATGAAACCTTGTATTTTCATCATTTTGTTTTCCAATCCATGTCATTGAATTTTCTGTTCAACTTTTTTCCTTCAACATGTTTGATTAAATGCTTTTCGATCAACTATCGATTAGATTTTGCTTTCAATTCTGGTTTTTAATCAACCCCCAAGTGTGAGTACATCATCACAGTTGTATCATCATAATCATCTCATCTACTCTCATCTTTATGCACGCAAACAATGTAACAACTGACATCTTCTCATCGAAGGAGAAAAACAAGAAAATGATCATTTCATTGAGTGTTGTTTATTTGTTTAGATTTACTCATGATTTGATTTGTCCATGAAAACTTCTGGTTCCTTGACAGCAATTGCATGAACAGAAGCTTTACTTCTCAGGGAACACACACAAAAAAGAGCAAAACTTTAATTTACCTTCATCATTACCTTACAAGGTGTGATGAACAATCACGATGGAAAAGTTTCATGATGGAATAAGAGTAAAAATCTGAAAATGATTGAGATTGTAATCTGTACGATAATCTGAATTTAATTTTGTCGTCAGTTTGTTCACTTCATTAATGTTCAACTATGATAATGAAATGAGTCAATTATTATTGGTGAGACAACACACTGAGTAAAATGTATGAAATATTAATAATGTGAAACATCTAAAAATGATAATAATAATGGAGTTGCAAAGGTGAATGTTGATTCGGGCAAATAAATGATTTGCTTGGAGCAATTTTCTTGTTCTGACAAGCTGGGAGTATTTTTTATTCTTCATCTTCTTCTTCTTATGCTTCGATAAATTGGTCGATATTAGTGAAAAGCTAAAAATTATTTTCATGAAAAATGAAAAGTTTAACTTTTCCTTTTTGTCTTTTCATCTGCAGAATTATTGATAATCAATTGGCGAACCCAAACATTTCAGACAATCACAGCCTGAAGGATGTTGAACCGTTGACATGAAGTTTGGAGTAAAGATTTTTGTCGAGAAAGTTGAAAGTTTTTTTGGCCAAAAAAGGATAATTGATTGTAATTGATGGTTAAAATAATTGTTGAATGTTAAGCAAATAGCAGTAATGATGACTGGGAAGGAAGGCAAGTAAATATAAATGGATGATTTAAACTACTAACCTGATTTCTGGAGGCCACAATTATGTGATTCTCATGAGTTGTTTCATTGAAAATCAAATGATCCTTGTCTTTACCTGGGATTCGAGTTGCGCCAAAAAAATTTCGATAAGTTTGCATGCATAAAGGTTGGCCTTTGGCTAATCCAGTTCCATAGTCTTGACTCAGCGATTCCCTGTAATTGGAACAGAAAAAAAGATCCAAAAATGGTTGACTAATTAATCACTCCAAATCAATCTAATCCTTAGACGGTTTACTAAGCTCAACAACAACTGGAAAATTCCAACTTTTTAAGTTTGAGCACGACCATGAAGAATCGAAAATTTAATTAGAAGTTTTTACATCGAAAATTTTTCGATTTTCTTTCTATGAACTTTTCAAGAAAAATTTCAATTTCAATTAAACTCTAACTTTCAAATTAAACACTTTCGTTTGTACAATTTTTTGAAAAAATAAAATCAATATTTTCAGTTGAATTGATCGATAACTTGAAATTGGTAAGAATCATGAAATAAGATGATTTTCATTCGAATCAATCTATTTTTCATCAAAAGAATTATCTTTTGAAACATTGTTTCTTCATTCGAATTTCAAAGTTAACTGATTGTGTTGAATTCTCGTAAAATCTCAATGAACTGAACTTTTCAGTTTCTTTTCGTTCTATGGTTTTATCACTTTTTACCAGACTTCAGTCGCAGCTACTTTTGCCTTGCTACTTGACTGGGAGTGAAGAGTGAATCACTCCAAGCCTTGAGTCGAAAGTCACTTACTTGTCTATCTGTTCCTTGAATTGCAGGGTAAATGCCACAATGCGAGCTGAATAGCGAAGGACATCAAGAGTTGATCGAAAATTTTGCTTCGGAAACAAACAGAATGGACTTGAATTAACTGGAAGTGGAAGTGGATTGTTCAAGTACATCTCATCGTACCAGAATTGATTAGCCTGTTAAAATTGAACAGTGCAATAAACAGTAATAATGATTAAAATAAATTCTCATCAATGTTTCTAATTTTCTTATCTTCCATGTTAATATTATCTTGTTTCTTGTCTCACTTTTACTCCCATCTTAGTTCATTACCATCATTATCATGCACAACCAATGTGAATCTTTTTAAAGGTAAATTTTATTATAACTGGGATGCAATAAAAAACAGTTAAACAGTTGCGTGAACTTTATTGACAACAGTCAAGTCTAAAGCTCAAAGTTAAATGGTTCAATATTGGCAAGGGAATCGTAAATTGAAAGCAAAAGAATCAAATGATTATCATGATTGGAAGAAGAACAAGAATAAAAGTTGAAATAGACACAAAATAATTTACCTTGTTTCACAGCCTTACTCATCATTACCATCATCTTATCCAAGCTTTACCCTTACAACAACTTAATATTCACTCAATGTTAATAACGTTGGAAACAAGTTAATCAATATCATCAGTTGAAACTTGCCAGCTTGAGTCACCCTGGAGGCTCATTCAACTCCCAGCCTAAACCTTCCGAGTTCTCAATTGATAACAATTTTTCTCAACTATTCAAGATGAACAATAACATCATATAATAACACGGTTCCAACATGATAATGAAATGCTTCAAAGTTCAACTGGCAAACATGTTTAACAATAAGGAAATGTAGAGTAAAATAATTATCATGTTATTAGCAATCAATAAACAACCAAAATTCAAGAGACTCGTATAAATGAAAAGATAACAAATAACACTCCAAACAGGTGAACATCTATATCATTCGAAAAAAACTCCAAGAAAAATCGAAAAAATGTTAGAAGAAAAAGCAGAATGAGGTTTATTCGAAGTTCGAACAACTTTCTGAATTTTAGAATGACAGAATAGATGACTGTGTTCGACGGAAGCTCGATAGATAACTGTCAAGCTGGAACAAGAAAATAATCTTTAATTTCTTTTCGAATTTTCTTATTCATTCACTTTTGTCAAAATTTTCATTAATTTTCAATTATTCTGTTCTGAGAATAATATTTTTTCGAAAAATGATTAGGATTTTCTCGTTTCGAAAGCGGAAATAAAAGTTTGTTCCAGTGTTGCTTGATTCAGATGCTGATTTCATCTATACTATTGTTGGCATTGGGAGTGAAGCTGGGAGTGAAACTGGGAATGATAACAAAGTGTGGAGTCAATTGGCTTGAAAAGAGAGTGAAAAATGTTGGCATGAAATGTCACACTCGATGGATCCTAAGAATGCCAATTTAATGGATCGAATCATCTTGTTTGCTAAATCACATTCCATATCCTCTATTTGACTCCCATTCATCTCTTGATCATCATCCATCTTGCGCCTGTTACTTGGCTTGTTACACTTGTAACCGACAGAGTACAGTTGCTGGGTTGAGGGACTCTCTCAATAAGGGCCACTAATCGTGTATATCTTTAAGGGAGATTATCTTTGAGCTAAATCATTAGCTAATTGATGGAAAGTGCGAACGAGTAGAATGACGATGATGATGAAGATGATTGTGAGTTTGCTGAGAATGATGATGGCAAATGATAAAGTTGCAGGATAAATGTTGAAATTGGATGTTGTACAGAATTAATCCTCGTCAATTGGCAAAGGAAAACGTTTTCTGCTTTAGTATACAGCTCAACTTAAACTTGAAAAAAAAACTTATCAGATAATCCTTGGTCAAATGCTCTTATAAATATATTCAATAATAACAGACAAATGCTAAGCATTGGTTAATACCTTCAAGATAAATTGATATTTTTGCTCATTTATTGTAATGCTTATCCAATATAATTTGGATGTCGTCTTTATTTCAGTTGTTGTTCAATAATCCGACAACTAATGATCAAATTAGATGAGATTTAATACACTATTAAACATGTTGAAAGGAACCAACATCTTCTTCTCAACAACCAAGTCTCGCCATTATTGCTACCAATTAGTAAATTCAGTTTAAATTAAGACTTTAAGTCAAGACAATTGAATGGACAATCACGTCAAGTCGACAATCAAGCAAATGTTGATTCGAAAAGGAATCAAAGTTGAAAATTCAAAGCGATTTTAATCATTCATTCCTTCTGGTCATAACGAATAGTTTGGAATCCAGGAAAGAAGATCAAAAGAAGAATCCAAATCAACTGAAATAACGATTGAAATATCGAGTTCGAACATTCTGTCAACTCGAATTTTAATTTAAATAGATTTTTGGAAGTTTCGTCAAAGTGCTGATGAATATCAATCTAATTGATGGAAAAGTTTAATAGAAAATTCTGGCAAGTTTGTTGAGCACTTAAGTGAAACCAATTGAATAATCAATCAGTTTCGTTGCCAATTGAAAGGTAATGTTTAAAGTATTATTGGGACAAAATGAAATTATCACTTTGAAAAGATGAAAATGGTGAGACTTTAATCACGTAAAATTACCTTTTATTCATCAGCACAATTGAATTGTTGAGCGAAGAAAAAAGAGGTTCAAATTGCAATTGTACAAAGTTTAGGGATTGAATTGTTCATTTCAAATTGCATTTCCAATCTGATCCGAAGCAACAACAAAAGTCTTTCGTCTTTAAATCTATATCAACATTCAACAAATCAACTTATGATAACAAACTTGGAACCCAAGAAGAAAAAAGGTGATAACATTGAGATAGGATATTGAGTTGAACTTGTGAACATTCACAATGGAAAGCTGTATAAATAATCTGTAAAAGCAACTCCAAGAGAATCGCAGATGTAACCCTGTAATTCGGCAAGAATAAGGTAAACAATTGATTCCCAGTTGAAGTTGGAAACGTGATTTTGATGGTGGCAAGACTGAGGCAAAGGGAAGAAAAAAGTTGAGCTTAAAGGTGAGTTTGAATGCTCACAGAAAATGATAACTTTGTTTATTTTCCTGATAAATGTATAACAGCCAAAGGGTTTCCAAGAAAGAGTAACTATCTATTTTATAAATAAATATATAAAGTTATGTGTTGCTTCAAAAAAATACTTTGTTCAATCTGATAATTGAAAAGCTGAATGAACAAGAAGAAATCTTTTTTTTGCTCAACAAAATTTCCAACCAAATCTTTCCTGATGTTTTTCATTTACACTGTGAAATGCAAACTTGAACCCTGAAAAGACGAATCAACCTCTCAACATATCAACATATCCAACTGGGAGTGAAACGTTTCCAACGTTCATTTCGATTAGAAATAATTCGCTTTTTCTCTTCAAAAGGCGAGCTCATCTTTTGACAAACATACTGAAAGACTAAGCAGACTTAGGCTGATGTCGAGCTCATTTCAATGCTGCAAGTCAATACCACAGGTTGAACAGTTGAGCTACAAGGGACTGTAAAGACGAGGAAATAAGATGTTGGTTTTCAACTTTTAAAGTCGTTTTCTTGGATCGAGAATAAAGTAAATTTTGCAAAATCTAAACTTCTTTTGGTTTTCATTTCTTATTCAAAGTGTACACACTTTGATGGTTAGTTGGCTGGTTGTAAATTAGTGTTCACCTTGATTACCTTTATCGATTATTTAGTATCATCTGTAATTAGGAAATTGTAAACTCCTTTTTTGGTTAACTGTAAGCATGTTTCAAGTTTCTCTGCTCTTCTTTTCGTACCCATTTGTTGTTAAAGTTTAATGAGTAAAATGGGTTTGATGAAAGTTGCAATATTACTCAGTTGCCTGTGTCTGTATATGTGGGTGAGTATATTTCAATTGGTGGGAAAAAACACTTTGGCTTTGAGCTTTTTTTTAATGGGAAAACAGGAAAGAGCGTGATTGTTAGCTAAATTGCTATGTGAATGGATTTTGTATCCAAAAAAAATATATTTTATTATATATAGAGAGACTGGCTCTATTAGAGAATCAAATATTCACTGTTAGATTTTTATTCATTATTAATCAGCCACTTTTTCATCTTCATTTTGCTGTTTTCAGAGTATACTGCTTCTTGTGCTTTGATTATTTATTTCAGTGAAAAGATTTTTTTATTTCCATCATTATCATTATTAAGAGCATTATTATTTCATTCAGTGATATTATTTCTTGATGGTCTGATATTGGGTTGATGATGGTTCATTGAAAACTCCAATTTATAAGATGAATATATTAGACTTTCATTGCATTTTCATATTCAATCATTTCAATCCAAGTTGAATATCTTTCAACAATTACTCTTCAAAGTTTCCAAAGACTGACTGCTAAATAATAGTTGCAGTTCAATTCGTTCTTGGTATAATTATTGTCCGATTAAAGATTAACGTTGTTTGATGAATACCAAGAGGTGCTCCAATAAACTGTTCAATAACTTGCGAAGGAACACACGAATTGTTGAATCGATATCGAGATTACTTTGGTAGCTATCGGCACATCAGGAACATTGTTGAAGATCAATGTAAAGCAATTAGATGCCAAGTTGTCGATTTCGGCATTCATCGCCTTTTTTCACGAAAAGTTTGCTTGCTTTGCTTTGGGAAGCTGTAAGTTTACTGTTTTGCATTTGTGAATTGTTGAAACAGAAAGATGTACTCTTTATTGCAAAGCAAGAGCATTTGAAAGATACATCTAAAGAAACAAATGCGAACTCCCATAGCAAAGCAAGCAAACTATTCTAGAAAAAAGGCGATGAAATGCCGAAATAGCAAAGCTGGCATCTAACTGCTTTATATTGCTCTCCAACAAGGTCTGATGTACCGATAGCTACAAAGAAATCTCGATATCGATTCAACATTCGTGTGTTCCCTGGCAAGTTATTGAACAGTTTATTGGAGCTTCACTTGGTATTCATCAAACAACTTAACTTGGATCTTTAATCGGACAATAATCAGATCAGGAACGATTTTACTTCAACTATTATTTAGTACGGCTTTACAATTATAGTCACGATATCGATTTATGCGTGAAGTTCCTTGGTTAGTCTGAAGGAAACTAACCTAAAGTAACCTAAAGTGGTACTGACCCTTAGTCTGCAATGAGGATTTTGTGATGCTTAAACAACTCAAGTTTTGTTTGTTGAGATAGGTTCAAAGTTTTGGGTAAAAGTTCAGTTCAAGATTTTGACTTTGCAAATCTTCCGGTCAAATATTGAACATTTCAATTGAAACAATTTGACAATTATTCTGCTTGAAACTTAATGATCAGTGAATATACATGAAAATAAATAAGCTTTGAAAATAATCTCAAAGAATAGCCGTGTTTAAAGCAATAGAATGGGAATTATTCTGAACACATATAGTTTCTATCTTACAAATCATCAATATGTAGATAAAAAATTGGCTAAGGAAGTTGTCTGTTTACCGCAAAAATAACCTTTAGTTATAAATAAAAGAAGAATGCACATAAATATATGTTTGCCATTTTTTATTTGCATGTAAGTAATTCATCTATTCCTTTATTCAGAACTTGAATATTAGTAAAAATAAGAATATTTTCCTTTTCCAATTGAATTATTCATTGAAAAGCTTGCAACACTCAATATTCCCATTGATTCCTATTAATAAACATTTCTCAATTCACAAGTAAATCTAACAAGAGGGCAAACTAAACAGGAATAAATGCTAATTAAAACTAAGCATTTATTAAACGAAAAATGGATCCATTTTAATCTTAAAAGAAACTTGCAATTCAGCGAAAAAAGGAACTGGATTACAGCTGAATTTGAGAAAAAATTAAGTTGAACTTGCTTAAGGGCATTGGGAGTGAATGAAGGGATGGATAGCGAAATGAATTATGGAATGAAAAGTTTGGAGAAAAAAAACTTTCTCTTTTCTCATGGAAACTTGACAGGATAAAGATCAATACAACTTGAAGGTAAAAATGATATCAAGATTGGACAAGATAAACAGACAAAATGGTTCACTTGAAGTTTGAATGTTAAAGATGATGAAAAGACTCATCATGATCATCTTGAGAGTTGAACTAGTCTTGAGGTTTTTAATCTAATTTTGACCATCGCTGAAGACCAAGGTAAAGAAGCAAACATCAGAAGAAAGGTCCAGCAACTGACCAAACATGATTATTGTTAACATTTCAGATGAGAATCGAAATTTTTTCATTTTTACTATTTTCTTCATGACAAGTCAAAGATGAAAGTTGAAAAAATAAGACAAACAATTGAATTGTAATGGCATAATTTGTCAGTTAAATTGTCCATTGAATACACACAAAGCTGATGAAAATTCAATTAAAAATGTTAATTTAGTTTTTCTTTTCATTGATTGAATTTTGTTGGCGTAAACAGTTTTCAATGTTTCAAGTTTCCTTTCAATTTCCTTTGTGTTCAACATTTTTGCTACTTCAATATCAACCTGAATAATGAATAGTTTCAGTTTAACAGGTAAATTGATGACCAAACAAAAGGACAAGTAATGCTTGGTGGTCAAAGTAGATCTCAAGAGTAGAAAAGATAATTTATCAAATTTTGCAAAATGTTGGCCAACTTGATCATGAATCGGTTCAGAAAATTACTCTTCTGTAAACTGTTGATATTTTTGTATAAAATGGTAAAGTTGATGTTGGAAGATTTCATTTCACTTGAGAAAAGCATTCCTTTTAAAGGTAAATTCAACATTTTATTCCAACACTTGGAACTTGCTTTTACCTCTTGTTTTTCATGTAATCCAGTTGAAAACATGATTAAAGTATTTGAGCTAAAAAGCACGTTCTCCATGAGATTTTCATGAAAAACTTACTCATCTCAAGATTGCTCTTTGCTGTTCAACTTGAAGTTGGCGAAAACAATAAACTTGAAACTCTCAATAACATGAAAATGGTAAACATTAATTGTTCATGTTGATGGTAATGAGCATGGAAATGGTGCGAGAATTTCATGTGTAAAAAGATTTTCCAGATTTTTATTCCATAAAATTCTTTTCTTTTCTTTTGTAGTTTCATGATATTTTTCACAGAAACTCAAGTGCTGATGTGCAGTTACTTACCCAGTTTTCACTCTTCTCGGCTAATTCAGTCAACAATTTCTGCAACTTATCGGCAATTCCAGTTGATTCAAAGTTATCAACAGTTTTACGAGTCTGTTCATATTGACTGCTGGGAATGACAACTTTAAGATGAGCCAAATATCTATCCAGAGTATCTTTCAAATTTGGAACTGGAATTTTGGGCAAATTCTGAAAAGACAGACATGAAACAAAATAAATGATCTCATTTCACTTTTATACTTGTCTAGCTTTTATATAATCATAATGATATAAATGAGACAGTTAATAGATATAAAAAAAGAGACAAAAGCGAAATCCTGTTTTGATTAAATCCATTTCAAAGTTACTTCATGAGGCTGTCTCTGAGTATTTATAATACAAACGATCCATTTGTTTACCACAAGATGAAAAATGTTTACTCAGTAACAATAGAGGAATGGGGTTAAACTGAGCAAGAAAATATATATTTTACTGTTAATTTGAATGGAAAGAGGAGCGAGTGAAGATGAAGAAAAAAGATGGAATTAACTTGTCAAATAGACTTGTTCATCTTCTTCTTTCATCTTTTTTTTCTCACTTTCCACTTTTTCTCCTCATCATCTTCAACTTGTTCATCCTCCTCTTTTCCCTGGCTATACTTGTTAAGCCTTCAATTTTGGGACCATGTGACAAGGAATGGCAACAAAAATGGGATCACCTTGACAACAATTTAATCTTGTAATTTGATTACAATAATCCGCATCATTTTCCTCTTTCCACCTCTGAATCATCCTCATCCACCTCAAACCACCCTCCAAACTTGGTCTTCAACATAATCATTTCATTATTTCTTTTCCCTTTCATGCAATGATTTTTTTATCAAAACATTTTCACTAGACAAGTCAGGGAAAACTTTCAGCTCTCTTTAACCACATTTTACCGCAGTCTCTAAGCTTTGAAAACAGTGAATTTATTGGTTCATCAATTTTTCAGACAAAATTTGCACCTAAAATCAAAGTAAAACAAACTAAAAAATTCAAGATCTTATTCATGAAAAGTGTGTATAACTTTACGAGTAGAAGAGGCCAGCATAATGCTCAATCTGATCCTAATAAGACGAACTTTTCTGCATCCAAAATCACTCTCAACGGGACTGAAATAACGTAAATACGGGTTGATCTTTCATTACACAAAAAGTCTCGCGGACCAAGAGTCCTAGCTCCTAATTTGGTGCTTAAAGTTGCATGCTGCCGCATCAAAAGTATATAAAACTTTACGGATAGAAGAGGCTAACATAGTGTTCAATCTGGTCCTTTTATGACCTTCTGATGATGAAGTGATCTTTGATGAAAGTCTGCTGAATTTCACGAGAAAAACGAGGCTAACCAAGTGTTTGTTTGATGCTATTGGGTTCACTTTATTGCACCAAACTAAACTTATTTCTGCTCATTTCTTTGACTTTAACTCATTTTATGATTAATATCATCGGAAAAAAACTTTAAAAACTTAAATGATGAAGTTTTATGGCTTGTTTAAGGGTAAATTAGCAGACTAACATAAGATCGTGTTAACTAAAGTTTCCTCCAAAATTATCCTCATCATCCCTCGACTCGTTTACCATATATGAAACAATACATTTTACCCTGAAGGAGTACAAGTACAGGAAAATTTACAAGTTTTGCCACTTGATGAACTGCAGTCTAATTACCAGTTAGACAAAAAGCAAGGAGAAGAAGTTAATCAAGGCTCGCTAATTAACTAGAAGCTAATAGTGAAATGAAAAGGAGTTGAAATCTATTATTGATATTTGAAAGATTTCTGCAAACCTTTCACTCTACTGTAACGATAAAATCAGTTACACATTACCAATATTGTTTTCATTTTTGCGCTATTAGAGACTTGTTTCACTGGTTTGTGCTAAACATACCTTTGAGACATGATAATTTGTTCATCCCTTTCCAAATAAATGGTTATGTTTAATGTATAAAGCTAAACTTGTCAGTAAACGATTCCCAGAACGATTCAATTGAACATAACTGTCACCTAAAACACGTAAACCTGAACAATATCCATAAGTTATTTATTATAATTGTACCAATATTAAAATATACAAGGTAAATGGCTAATCTATTTGCCTATTGACTGTTCAATTTCGTACAGATTTAACATTTTCTTGGCCTTTCCTTTTATAATTCAATGTTTTCTTTTCGTGTTCAATATTATTGATGACGAGTTTGATGATGAACATAATAGTGATGATAATCAATCTTGTTGAACTTTTCTTCTCCTGTTATCCTGATAGTTTTGACAAACTGTTTCAAGTGTAACAAATAAGACATTGTAACCCAAATGATTGATTCATTGCTAATAGTTTTCAAAGGTTAACAATTGAGTTTCCAGGTAAAAAATAGCTCAATATTTCAAACAATTCACTCTACTTTTGAGCTCAATAATCGATGATCACTAAGATCACTGTAAAAATCACGGTAAAAGTTAGAAGTAGTAAAATCATTCGTAATTCAATGTTAAATTTAAATCTTTTGAAGAGTCATTTCGATTGTTTCGCTGTTGCATCTTTAGTGACTCGATCTCGAAAGATCTCGAGTTTAAAGTGTATTTACCTTCTCCCATTGGCCTTCCATCGATTGAAACCTTTATAAATATCTTTTGAGCATTCATATGATCGAACCTAAAATAAGAGAAAAGACAAATTAATTTGAGAAAAAAGACAATTGCATTTATATCGTAACTTAAGTCGCGTAAATAGACTGATGTAAGATGGTTAAAGTTTTTAATGGCAAATGAGAAGTAAATTCAGTTGATAAAATACATTTGCAACAAGCCATGAAATTGAGAAGAGACAAAAAATGATAATTTATCTTTTCCTTTTCCAACTTTCAGACAGGGAATGAGAAAAAACTGGCAGAAAAAAGGGTTTGAAATGGATAGAGGAATGAGTTTCCAAATGAGCTTAAACAGCTATGAGAGTTGCACTTGTGTTGTCATTCAATTAATCATTTTTATTTGATCAAGTTTGCTTTTTTGTTCATTGCTATTGGACTTGAAGATGATAAATACGGAAATAAGCTGCAAGATTGGTAATGATGATTCAATGAGCTTTTGTTGAATTTAGGGAATCAAAAGAAGAAGAAGAAGAAACTGGAAAAATTTTCTTTTCTTTTCATCCATTTCGATAGCGATTCATTCTTTGATTATTTCATCCCAAGTAATGGAATATTATATTTATATCAAGAAAAAAAAACTCTTCATGTTTCTGTTTTCTTCAAGTCTCTTCCTTTGAAGATACTTTTTAAGAGTTGTTGAAATTCATTTCAACTTCTTATTATTATCATCGTAACTGTTATTAGTAGACTAAGATTTCAACTCATCATGTTTTTGTATTTTAGCTGAGCAATACTTGAACAAATAAAGGAACACAAACAAATACCTTTTTTTATATTTATCATCTTCTTCATCATCTTTCATCATTCTTTATACCAGTTGATTTCCTTTGTGATAACTTTCTTCTCTTTCATTATTTTCGTTCTCTTTCCAATGTTCATTGGTTCCAATGAACTGCAGATCAAATCAACAGAATTATCAATTGTTGATGAAGTAAGAAAATGATACTTTCTACTTGTTTGGTAATCAATTGAGAGGAAAGGCAACAAATTCAATTTGTTTCATAAATTTTGCAGTAAAAAAATGCTCTCCAGTCTTCAGCATTCAACAGAATTACATTTCAATTGTTTCGCGAAAATGTCTTCACAATGAACTTGCAATTGAAATAAAAGTCAAAATCAAATGAATATTGCAAGCACCAATTTACAGTCGATATGAACAGGGAGTGAAAAGGGAAAACTTTCGTTTAAATAAAGTTCTGTGCAACAGTAACAGCTATCAGTCATGGATTTAGTCAGATCATCAAAATTTGGAACCAAATTAATATTTATTTTTGCAATTTATTTACTTTTCATTATTTGCTTTAGCTTCTCAACAGGTTGAAGGGAGCAAAATTGATTTGAAGCTCGTTTGAAAAAGGAAATCCCAGAATTCATTTTTTACCCGTTTTTCAGCTCAAATATATTTTATGGTCAATTCTGGTTAATTGTGGAACTGAATTTACAAACTGTATTTCAATTAACTTGAAAGTAAATTGAAAATGATTTAAAGTTGGTGAAAAACAAAAGTTTGACTATTTGTAGCGAGTGAAGATTTGATTAGAATAGGGTTTGAAAAGAAATCACAATCGAAGGAAGAAAATTTTCTTTCCATTTCCTTTTTTCTTCCAAATGCTCATCATCATCACCATCTTCATGCATCTTCTTCTCCCTTCTTTTGGATTTAAATCCAGAATTCCCAATTCAATCTGTTCGTGGTATGAATTTGTTATCATGGTCTGTGAAAGTGAAAAGCACAAAGTAAAGTAAAATTGAATGTCTTAGGTCGCTGGTAAGATAACAATGATAATAATGGAGAGTCACACGAAAAAATAATCAACCTTTCGAAATGTTGAGCAAAAGAAAAGGTAAATTGAAGGTAAAAATGATGAGGAATGGAAAATAAAAGGTAAAAAGAAAAGACGAAAACAAAAAAAACCAAATAACATTAAATAATATGGCAAAGATGAAGGTAAAAGAGGTACAAGAGAAGGAAAAAAAAGGTTGAAATCCACTTTAAACATTTATGATAAGTTCAAGTTGTTCAACACTTTCAAGTAGCTTTGGATGATAATGATGATGATGATGGTTCACATGGTGATATAAATGGTTGAGCAAATCTTTGAAAAACATATTGTCAATAATGTTCAACCAATTGAGTAAAGAACTGTTCATTGGTGTGCAAAAGAAGCCTCTGAATACGGAAAGGTTTTGATGGAGAAAAACAATTTCCACTTTTTCCTTCATCTTTTCCCATCTTTATCATGAAATTTTTGTATAATTTTCTTCTTCTTTCACCTTTCTGCCCTTTCCTTTTTCATAAAAGTTTCAGCACAAATTTGCTATCCATTTTACAATTGAACCAATCAATGATGATATTATGGATAATCTCATCACTTATTCATCACAGTCAAACCTCGAGTTTTCAATTTGCATTTTTATTATTCTTGCATTTGCAACCATCGATATTGAGGTTGACATGAAAAGCAACATTTGGATTGAATTGATCAACATTTACTTTTGTTTTTAAAAACGCTTTCTTGATCTTCTTTGACCATCATCAATGTTGAATCTACGTGTGTCCACCTCTTTCCTGTTCCAATCTCATTTTGGTCAGTTTCTTTCCACTGATTCTTGTATTCAGCTTTTGACTAATTGGCTGCCATTTGGTATTATGTATTCAAAGTTGCAAGCAAACAAGGGTTTTAATCAAAGTTTAGCCAAACAGTGTACATACATCGGTAACAACAATGCATAAATAATGAGTCAATATTGGACCGTTTGTGTCATTAATCATTGTAAATCATTGTAATACAAAAATCTAAATTGTTGATTGAATGTTTGGGTTAAATCAGTGATTAAATAATTGTCCATTTCTAGGTCATCATTAGGTTAAACCATTAGACAATGTTGAAACCATTGATCAACTTAAGATCGACCCCAACCTTGGTGTGAAGTTTAATGGGGAAAGCATTGATTGTTAGGTTAAAGTCGAGTCTTTGCTTAGCCTCAAACTACGGACTTGGGTTTCATCTACTTTTGTTACTTGAAAGTTGAATAAGTTTTGTTTAATATTCAAGTCAGCTTTGATTTTTCTTCGCTTCTTCTTCTACTTCTAAAAATATCTAAAGATAATAAAAATAATAATGATAAAAGTTGTAATAGTAATAATATGAAGAGAGTTAGACTGTTTTTTCATCTGGACATTGAGCATTTGATAAAGCTGTGAGTTTACCTTAAAAAATTGAAAAGGTTGAGGAATCAAGGATAAGAAAGATGTTAAGGTTAAACGGAAGACAAAATGATGAAGATGATTGTACAAAGTAAGCTGAAGACAAGTTGGATAAACTTGTTCATCTTCCTTCCCTTGTTAACATTCCCATCACAACCGATTAAACAGAGCACAGATGAAGATAAAGATGGCGAAAAAAGACAGTTCTATTCTCTGTTCTTCCTTTTTATTCAATCTAAACTTGACCATCAATATTTATTTAAAACAAACAAGATTAGGCCGATAAAGATGATGTCAATGAATGAAAGTTGAATGATGAAGATGATGTTAATCATGATGAAAAAGTCTATTCAAGTGGACCAGGATTCCCTTGTAACTTGAATATAAACCTGAGAATTGAGAAAATTGACTAAACAGAATTAACCATTTGAATATAATCACCAATGGAATGAAAAAGAAAATGAAAGTTCTGATTAAGATTGAAAGAAAAGGGTTGAAATTTGGAAAATCTTTTAATGTTTCTGGTGACGAGAATTGAATCTTGGAATGAATTTACATTTGAAAATGCAATCCGAATAATGATTATTTTTTAGGAAAAGTTTTTTTTCTCTCTCTTCACCCAATTCGGTGTAAATGTTTAACTGAGAAGCTAATTTGAAAAACAAAAGTCTGATTGAATAAAGAGATGGGAACACAATTGATTTCAGTTGAAACTTGTTCTGTAATAAAGAGAAGCTTGGAGTGATATTTTTTTCTCGAGGATAAGAAGGATAAAGAAGTTTATCCAACTGGGAGTTTCAATGCTTATCCATAATACTTTTTCTTCTCATTCTTCTCCCAGTTGAACATTATCGACCTCAATTTTTTGTTTCATATTGTTTAGCAAGCAAGGCACACATACCCATGGATCATGGCTCTTTTGAGGATTCAAATTCAGAATGAAGATGATGCCGGTTTAAGGCTGAAAAAAACGGTTTCAAACATTGCCTTATGATTCAAGTTTACCTTTATGTTGCACTTGAATTTGTTCAATTGTTATTGTCATGAAATTGAGGAAACACTTTTCGAACCTTTCAAATGAATTAATCTATTGAATCACAGGAAATTGCTGATTGAATTTGAAAAATTTATTAATCAAAATATTGGGTTTTTGGTTCTTTTGTTGTTGCTCTTGAATCAATTGTTGAATGAAAATGTGTTGATATTGTGTTTTATAAGCTATAAAAGTAAAGTATTAACAATAAAAAGTGGTGTAAAGAGGATGATAAAGAAGATGAAATAATCAATTTGTTTACATTATTTAACTCACTTGCTTGTTTAGTGTAAATCTCAGCAGATATTTTGCTTAGTTAAGCAAACTAATTAAGGTTTGAGGCAGTTAATTAAGCTTAATTAGGGTTGAGTGAAGATGCACAAATAAAATGAACTAAAACTCAATCAAAGTGTATTTTTGCATTTTTTCATCTTCCAATGAAATAAACATTGTTACTCTTTTGTCACTCCTTTAGCTTATCAGTAAATACAAAATTTAAAGCTTGTCATTCCCTGTCATTCCTTGTACAATACAGAATGAAAATGTGATGATAATGATAATGATAATTATAGTGATTATCATGGTATCAGTGGTGAGGTTGAGTTGTGTTGCAAATCAAAGGAAAAATATTTATTATTGAATATTTTTCTCGACAAAATATGCTTTTCACTCCCAGATTGGTTTACCTTTTGAATAACTATTTCAAGTATAACTCCTCCCATTTATAGTTTGTCAATTCCCGCCCAGAACTTATCATATTCTGAAGGAATTTTTAAATTCAAAATAGAATCACAATTCATCAGAAAATATTTCCATTTCGAAAAATTTCCATGTTAAAACGAAACTTGTTCGTTACCAGATCAACTTAACCTGATCCAACCTTACCTAACCTAACTCAAGCTAATGCTAAAAGTTTTTGCACAATCCAATCAAATCGACGATATAATCGATATTGGTCTCGATTGTACAGAGCATTATGAGCCATTTCGACATGATATTTTTCACCCTGAAATTTCTGTCCAATTTCGTTCAATAAAGTAATATTGAAATACTATGTTTGGACTCTGTCAATTTGGTGAAGTTTCTTGGATTTTATCGATATCTCTGATCAGTTCACCGACTTCGAACGGCATTTGAATCTAAGATTTAATCGATTTAAAAAGAATCGTAAATTTTGATCGATTTTCTCAGAAATCGATAAACACTATTGCAATATCAACCAAGTTAACCAAATCTAAGCAAAGCTATGCAGAATCAGAGTCAAGATTCACTGAGAAAAAAGTTGAATAAAATATGAAATTAATCGAAATAACATCGATTTAAATTCTCGATTTTTTCGAAATATTATTCAACTTTAATGACTATCTTCCTAACATTGAATATTATCGTCTTCATAAATACGCCTTTCCCTTTTACTCTGGTTATCAACTGGGAAGGATAACTCCCAAGCGCTATTCCATCCCTGGATAACAGAAAAACAATTTAAATTTTGTCAGAGAATCTAAATAATAAAGTTGAATTTTATACCGAAATTGAGAAAAGAATGAAAAATTTAAAGAATTGAATTTAAATAATGAATATAATTGAAAAAGCAATAATTATGGATAAGATAACAGGTGAAGAATGATGAAAATCAATAAGATTGAATTGTAGTGCATTATCAATGTTACTTTTCATGTCACTAACCAATCAAACTGAATATGACAACAATAAAAAAATAATAAAACATCAATAATAGTAAAAGATAATGATGAAATAGAAGTGGAATAACTTCGATTTTTCCTCAAACCTATTATTTTCTGTTAATTCATTTGCATGGAAATGATGAAGATTGAAATTGGAAGATGATAGAAAGATGAAATCTTTTTTTGCGTGTGAATACTCATTGTGAGGTTCATATGTTTTATCAGATATTATATCAGTTTTTTGTTACTTGTTCAAAATAATAATAAACTATGAAAAAGATATCATGTTATTTTTGATGGTTCATGTGATTAACAATTGATTGTTGATTGGATTTTATTGTTATCAAGATTGGACTCTTTGAGTGCAAAATAGAGATTGTTTTATCCATTCCATTGGATGAAAGGTTAAAAGTGTATATTTGATGGAAATAGTTCTGGTTCAGTATCAATTTACCATGTTATTATGTTAATCTGTTTACATAGTTTATTATTGAGTAAAGGTGGGAAAAATGATCAACTAAATTGTAATATAAAACTGTAATTTAGATTGCAATGAATAAACAATATTATTTACATCACAATAATAGTTTTACATTTCAAGTTTTCTTCAACAATTTTACACTTTTATCACTCATGATATTAATATCATGTTTTGTCAAGCTAATGATGAGGGTTAATGCTGATGATAATGTACAATTCAAGTCAAATTGATGAATTGATTAAAAGGTTAATCATGTTAATAGCTAACTTAAATAGCGCGCCTTTGTTTTCGTTTGGTTAAACATTTTGCTTACGCCGCCTTATCACATGGTTTTAATTTTTGAATTAGTTAACGGTTTCGCTCAATGCACGCCATTAATTAAACATTGTCATTGTCATTGTCTTTGTTTAATTTAGTTATGAGTGCTTTTATTAATTGTAACAACTGTTGATCATCTATTCTTCTAATGTGTTTTAACGTGGAAATCTTTCTAATCAATTTCTTGTTTCTATTAATATTTTCTTCATAGATTTTCTGTTGGTGGTCAAAATTGTGAATAATGTAGGTTGGTAATTGTGTGTTTAAATATTTTACTATAGATTTACTAATTTTCTTTGTGTTTTGTCATTTAGGTTGTTGAATTGGTTTAAAAGTGGATTCACATTTTGTTGCTAAATGAGCTTTAATTGAGCTTTCAACGCGCGATTCTAATCTATTGCCTAGAAGGCAAGATTACTTGGAGGTTCGTATTTGCTATTCAGTGTTGTGTTTATTTTGATTTTTTACACATATTTTGTTCTTTAGGTCAGTCAATTGGCTTAAGTTGACTTTAATTTAATGTCTTAAATGGACTTACAAATTCTCTCTTGTTGATTAATGATTGTCAAGTTCTGATTGCTCAAGGATTAAAACCCAGGTAATTACTAATTTATCGATTGTAAGCAGTTAATTGATGTTTATTTTGGTTTTTTTTATTAGCCACTTCGGTCACCTAAGTTGATCAATGGTTTAAAGGTGACCTTCACTCTGGATGCTTTTCATTGAGCTTGTAATTCTTTTGTCTATTGCTGGAGACTAATGAGCAGATAAATGATTTTGGTTTCAATTTATTCATGGAAAGAGAAATATTTTTGCTGGTATTTTCAATGTTAATTGTTGGTGTGCAATCACAAATGAGTCAAAAATTTGGATGTATTGGATGGTCAAAAAGATGCTCATCATGATAAAGACAAGAAGAAGAGGAGAAAGAGAAGATTGTGTGTTATGAGAGGGTTCACAAGTAAAAAGAAGTAGCTTAATAGTGATAATCCTCTTAGGGATTGACATAGATTCGTTTGAGAGGAAATAGCATGACAAGTTCAACCTATCTTAAATAGTCACGAGGGTTTCATCATCATCATCAGCTTCATCTTCTTGATCATCTTATTGACCTTTTTCTTCCTACTTGTAATACCTTCTGTTATTAGGCCTAATTGGAACCTGTTATAGCGGACTTGAATCTTTGAAGTTAATTTTTGTTTCCCAGTTTTCTTCCCTTTATTTGGTTTCATCTTTTTATTTGTTCAATCATATTCATTCATTATCATGATCTCGAGTTAGTTTTTTTCTTCATCTTCACCATTACCATCGCACACACCGCCATCATTATCATCATCTTTTCATCAGGATAGATTTCATCCATTTTCATCCAAAGAAAAGCTTCAAAGATGATCCAAGTTAAGATATCTTGTTATTCAAAAGCTTAATATTTCATTTACTTTCCTTTTTTTACTATTTACTTTCTCCTTATCCCATTTTCATCTCCCTTATTGTTTAGCTTAAGATTAAGGTTATTTAATTTGATTCACATAATGATTAACAATTGTCAACTCATTATGAGAAGCAAAAAAGGATAACAAAGAGAAAAAGGTTTCGGATTGGGATTAACATGATTTTGTCTCAAGGATTACAAACCGTCTTTCCTATTAATTTCCCTGCTTAATTAATGTCTCTAATCAATTTAAATAGTTAATTAAGACATGGTATGAAGTATCATGAAAGAGCTAAGAAAAGAAAGTAATTAATCAAACTTGATGCACTTACCTAACAAATAATATTGCTACAATTTAAGCCTATGATCGATTGACAACAATGAACATTGAAAACTGACAAAAAGTTTCCGACCAAACAATACTTAAGTATCATCTTATATCCAACCGATACAATTGAACTGGAACAAAATTTCAATATAAAATGTTGAACCAGAAACATTCAAATTGAAACAATTTGTAAACGGTTAGCAATTTAAATAGGCTTGTAATAGTTTTTATTTTATATCATTTCAAGAAAATATTGATGATATTTCCGTTCAATTGAATCAAGATCAATATTAAAAGCCAAAAATAGTTGCAAAAGTGAATTACATTGTTAACAAATTAAGAAAGTCTTAAATGTTTAATCAATGGTTGGTTAGTCTTTCAAATAAAACTTGGAAAATGTTACAACTGTTCAACCAAGAGAAATGAAATTTAATCATAATTTTCTTTATCTTTTCAGCCTTCTCATCATTATCATCCTCACCACCACCATCAACAATATCATCATCATCGTCATCTATGAGAAAGAAGCAGATGTTATTCATTATTTGTTACTTTTGAGAAGAAGAAGAAAGAAACTCTTTGAATCAATTCTTGTTTCCTTCAAGACTCTTCATCATTTCCTATCAACTTGATCAGTCTTCTGTTTAAACTTGGTTAACCTTTGGTTATCTTAAAATGTAAGTTAGTTAATAATTGTTATAATTATATCCAAATTTATTATAAAAGATGATTATTTGATATTAACAAATTACCTTAACCACGCAATGTGAATTAATAGGTTGTCATTGTGTGTAAGTTTGGTGAATTTGTGTGTGTCTTGGTCTCTTCAATGGTTGTTTAATGATGAGAAGAGAGCCTCTTTTTTGATCGCTCAATTTATTGAGAATGATTAATGATCAACAATTAACAATTATTATTGTTGGTGGCATCATCATTATTATATTTACTAAATTAACCTTTCTCCTGATATCCTCAAATTGTTCACTTGATTAAATAATAAATGATTAGTTCACTTAATCAAAAAAACATATTCAGTTACAAAAGGCTCCAAAAGTGTTTTCATTTTTATACTTTCACTCAACTCCAATCGTTTCTTCCTAATGATGAATATATTTTTCTGTTAACTCAACCATTTGCTTAACCAGATCAATTTTCAACTCTCAACTGGACAGACAATTGTTGATTGATGATTTATAAATTGCTTTATACTTTTTAACTAATCAATCAATTAGCTGTCGATTGTTAATTTTAACAAAAGTGTTAACAACTTTAATTGTTTTTGCTTCTCCACTGAAACATTGAAGCAATTTTTGTTATCTCACACTTTGTTCAAAACTCTCATTAATCAAGATTCCATGTTATATTATTGATGGTTGTGGGTTAATTATTAATGATAGTAGTAGTACAGATACACAAGATAACTCATACACAAGATAACTCACTTTTAATCGATATTTAATTAATAAAATTGACCATTAAATTAAGTTCAATGTCCATGTTAATTAATGCGGAACTATTTTTGAACTTTATGAAACCATTATCTAAGTTCAAGTTTAAGGTTAATTGTTTGTAATTATTTTATGCTTTGTTGATTCAATAATGATACTTTTGAACTAACTAAAGTCAAGCTAATTGTTTTACGTTATTCTTGGCTGAACAAATGTAACAATATTACTGATGTAATCAACGAACTGAATAATGATACTTAGTTCAATGTGAAATAATTATCTTTGCTACTCACCGTTGCACAAATGTATCAATTTTACTAGATCAACGAACTGAATAATGACATTTTACAGTAGCAGGTATGATCAGTTATTTCGAAGCGGAACAAATAATTCCGGAAGCGTATAGTTTGACTTGACTAAAATTACAATCCTTTTCCACTATAAAAAGACAATTAAGATTTGTTTTTTTGTCATTCGTACCCAATATTTCAAAGATGATGTTTGGGAACGATGAAGAAGAGTTACCTGCTTTAGAATTGATACTTGACATATCACAAGTTTACCCTCGAAGTGAAATGAATACTATCCCCGTTGCAACCATTTCAGATGGTCGAAACAATTTTGAATCCACACCACTCATAGCAACAATCCGCCCTCGAGTTACTTCAGCAAGGATGATTTTCAATCAAAGATCTCCTTCTGGATGTTTTGCACGACATGTCGATGCTGAGTATCCAGATTATATCACACTGCAAGCAGATTGTCAACGTACGGCGATTGGATA